AGGCTTTAAAAAAGATTTAACAACATCATGTGTAACAAAACTAGTGCGATGTGTCCAAACATTTAGCAGCTTGTGCAACTTTGCATAGATTCAAATAAGTAAAGGCTTTGTACCATTTCCGCAGCATTGGATTAACGAAAGAACACAACATAACATTAGATATAACCTGAAAGACAGCTACACTGTAAAAGATTATACAATAAATCAGTTAAGACAACATGTTTTTAGATAATTGTAATTATTTAACTAAGTTAATCTTGTTATAACTTAATTTTAATTTTAATCAATATAATATAACTTCAAATAACTCATAAGATTAATTTGACTCAACTTAAAAATTTTAGACAACCCGTTTTTTTTTTTTTTTTACGGTATACAAATATGAACCTAAATATGACCATTGTCAGTTTTGACAATTCAGTTCTTTATGCGAGGGCAGATTTGTGTAAATAAAAACATTTATATAAAAAAATGAAAAAATAAATAAACAGAATCTGATCAAATAAAGACAGCCACCTTTAAGGGGTGTAATTGTTTTACATTTTAGTCATTTTAAACTTAACATAAATCTTAAAATGATTACCATTTATTGTTATGAACCTGTTTAGCAGCAGATGCTGACTACTGAAATTGATATAAAGTTGTCTGTTTCAGTCGGAAATAATAATCACAAAACAAACAGATAAATTGGGTAGACTAGACATCACAAAGATTTCTTTCTTGAGTTTTGTATTATATTAAATATCGTATACAGAGAGAGAGAGAGAGAGAGAGAGAGAGAGAGAGAGAGAGAGAGAGAGAGAGAGAGAGAGAGAGAGAGAGAGAGAGAGAGTTTAAATATGAATGGCTGACAAAAACAGATTTACAATATTTTAAAAATGAAAATATAATCAGATAACAGAATTAGAAGAAATGTGTAAAAAGCAGTTCTCCTTTCAAGCACAGCACAATGCTCCTTTGTTTGTAAAGAGAGACCATACTTTACCATCAACGATCATCAGCAGTATTGACATCAAAACACAGGTCGGTGGATGCAACAGAAATGAACAGAAATGGGTCAAGGGGATCATGTCTTCTACCGATCAATGATCACAGATTCTAATAGAAATACTAATCAGCGGATGCCTTGACTTTCACTTTTAAAGCTCGTGCTCAGTGTCTAGTTTGGTGTGGAGCTGAATGTATTTGCTTAGGCAAATTCTGCTGCAATGACCTTTTTTAAACCGATGACACTTCAACCTCTATCCAGTAGAGGGTGGTGTTGTCTTGGAACAGAGCTGTGTGGTGTGAACATTAGAAAGGTTTTTGTTGATTACTGATTAGTGCTACAAAATGGAAAATTCAGGACTTCGCGGTGTGCTTAATGAAAACTAATTAAAAGGAAGTTTAAAAAGGTTTCTTCCACTATAGCTCCTGTTTTGTTATTATTTTAATCTACGTTTTGAGAAATATAAAGACTAAATTGCAAAAGAACAAACCATAATGTTTGCGTAAAGGGGAGTGACAATAAGATATTCATCACGCAAAGAACCGCGTAAGTAGGCTATATTACATTTACGATATACTTTTCTTCAAGTATACATTTGAAGAAGGATGGTGACAACCTGCTATCTGCAAATGTACTGTACATGCACTTGCGTGAGTACATTAGTACTCTTATTCAGTGCTTGGGTTTTATATGGGGTGTTTAATGAATAAAAGGTTTACAACCAGTGAAACCCTTATTGTATACTGTATGTATTTTAAATCTGCAATTCAATATAAAATATATTTCCATACTTACCTTATGTTTAATCGTCAATCTCACCACAGCCATCAATGTCTCCATAACTCAATATCAACAAATAACTTTGCATGACATAGGCCTACCGTCAGGGTTCAATGCAGATTAAAACAGCCTCGCATCTTTACTGCTGTTTGCACAGGGGGGCTAACTGTTAACACAAGCTTTTTGTCAGGAATGCCTGTGCAATCACTGATCCATCAATGTATAAAAGTGATGTAAAACTTTAATTTTAGCAATTACATTTTTTTTAAATACTAACATCCAGGAAAACTCCCGATCATAGATATATGTGTATATGTGTATATATCTCTGGCTTTGGATGGCCAGTCCCCCACTACGGAACCCCGGAAGGGATAGTGGAGAAAAAAAATTGGCTGGGTGAAAAAAAAAGGGTCAAAGAAAAAAAAATGGGTGGGAGGAAAATATATATTTCTAAGTTTTCGCGTTCTTTCGCAAAGTTTTGCTTTCTCTCGCAAAGATGTTCTGCGTTCCCTCGCAAAACTCCACAAACACTTCCTGTTCACTTCATTCATGTAAATTGCCGAAATTCTTCCATATTTTACCATTCTACCCCACTTTCTTTACATTAAATCTGTGCGTCGATCGTTGCCTTTCACTTTGCAACCTCTGAACCAGTGCATGGATAAGCGCTGACTGAAGCCTGGTTTATACTTCTGCGTCAAGTGACCGGCGCAACTCACGGCGCAGGCAACGCGTGTGGCTGTGCATTTATACTTCTGCGCGCTGTCTCCGTTGGTCTGCATTAACACTTCCGAAACGCTAGTTGGCAGTGAGGTGTAAATGTTCCTCTGTGTTGAATTTCTTCGCTTCTGTTTTGCTTTTCCTGAACACTTCCTGGATGTACAAGTGACTCAAACTCGCTCATTTTGAGGCAGGAACCGGCGGACGTGCAGCAACTTTAACCATGAGGTAAACACAAAACAAAACTTTCCATCCGGAGCTCCTTCACGGGACTCCACACTTGTAAACAATCGCTCGCGCCATTCGCGCGGCTCACGGTCCCGCCCAGACTCGTCGGCGCTAGCAAGCCGACCAATCACAGAGCTTGCGCTTCGCGTTGTTGCGACGTGTAGTTACAATTTTTGAGAGGTGCACGTCAGTGACGGCGATGGCCACGGCGATAGGCTATGCGTCAGCGCCGTAGCATACGCCGGTGTTTGACGCAGAAGTATAAATCAGCCTTGACACGCGCTCCGTACAATAAACTGATCCCAGATCAGCGTCTACGCGCCATTTAAATGGACACTTCTGTTATCAAACAAGTGCGCAGCAAATGAATCTCATGTTTTGTTTGTTTGATAACAGAGGTGTCTCTGTAAAAATGCACAGATCTATAATGAAAGCATTCCATTACTTTAGAAACTGTTTGTGCTCATTTAAGAGGAAATAAGCTGTTTACAATAAAACATGCAGGACGGAGATGTTTACATATTATTCAGTGTATTTGTCTGTTTAAACATACACCCGCTCCTCTGTGCTCCTCTGTAAATGGCGCGTACAGACGCTGATCTGGGATCAGTCTATTGCAGGGGTGGCCAACCCTGTTCCTGGAGAGCCTTCCTGCAGATTTCAGTTGCAACCCATATCAAACACACCTGCCTGTAATTATCATGTGGTGTTCAGGTCCTAATTAATTGGTTCAGGTGTGTTTGATATGGGTAGCAACTGAAATCTGCAGGAAGGCTCTCCAGGAACAGGGTTGGCCACCCCTGGTCTATTGTATGGAGCGCGTCTGTCAGTCAGTGCTTATACATGCATTCACTGGTTCAGAGGTAGCATATGAAAGGAGACGCACAGTTAAGAAAGTGGGATAGAATGGTAAAATACGGGAGAATTTCGGCAAAAACTGGAGGGTTAACGTGAGTGAAGTGAATAGGAAGTGTTTGTGGAGAAACAGTTTTGCGAGGGAAAGCAAAACTTTGCGAGAGAACGCAAAAACTTAGAAATATATATTTTCCTCCCACCCATTTTTTTTCTTTCACCCATTATTTTTTTCCACCCAGCCAATTTTTTTCTCCTCCACTAAGTCCCTTCCGGGGTTCCGTACCCCACTTTACCTTGGTCCCGCATTCATTTCAATGGAGCGCTACCCTGTTCCAAAATGGCGGCTCAACTGACGCATTCCTTCCAATAGACAACAACAGGGTAGGCGAGATCTAATGTATATATCTATGTGTATTATTTGCTTTCCTTTTAAATTGTGAGAAGACTTCAGGTCAGGACAGGTGATCATGAATTGTTCATGTAATTCATCGAAAAAGTAGAAAATGCTAATAACAGAAGTGTGGCCTTTTCATTAAACCATGATTTATAAAATACATTAACAGCTTAAGCTGTAATGTACATTGATTTTAAAGTTATGAAGTAGGCTACTTTCTGTTTACACATTTAGATCACTTGATATACTAAGTATACTTCTCTTATGAAAACCACATCAATTATATGAAATCTTCAAAAGTAAAATAAATAAATGAGCAAAACAAACAAAAAATGCTGGTATTGAATATAAAAGATGTGCAGTCTTTCTCAGATTTTTTTTGTCCAATTCATTTTTTCCTCCCTTCAAGTTTGTTTTAAACCCTTTTTTTCTTCACATTTTACATTTTTCTCATTTTATAATCAGTTTAAGCAAATTTCATATGCACTGATAGTGATACCTGGTGGTTGAGATTGGTATATTCATTCATTCATTTTCTCGTCGGCTTAGTCACTTTATTAATCCGGGGTCACCACAGCGAAATGAACCGCCAACTTATCCAGCAAGTTTTTACGCAGCGGATGCCCTTCCAGCCACAACCCATCTCTGGGAAACATCCACACACACACACACACACACACTATCACAACCGACAATTTAGCCTACCCAATTCACCTGTACCGCATGTCTTTGGACTGTGGGGGAAACTGGAGCACCCGGAGGAAACCCACGCAAATGCAGGAAGAACATGCAAACTCCACACAGAAACGCCAACTCAGCCAAGGATCGAACCAGTGACCTTCTTGCTGTGAGGCGACAGCACTACCTACTGCACCACTGCTTTGCCCGAGAATGGTACACATGATAATAATTAATCGGCCATTCATTTTCTCTCTCTCTCGCTCAATCGGAAACAAAGTTGGATCTCTATTTTAAATGAACAAATAAAACTAATATATAAAACGCAATCTCTTCAACCCTGGCAATTCCACTACAGGAAAACAAGTACTCTATATCACCAACAAATAATGTAATATTACAAAGCTTCATTATTTTAATTCATCACACAAACATTTTCATTTCATTTCATTTTTTACAATTCAAATTGTATTAAAGCAGTTTTTCAGAAAAAGTGTGTTTTGAGATCTTGTGCAGTGCGCAGAAGACATCTGGAAAAATCCCATTCTTCCATCACTGATCTTTTTGTGTTTTGCCTGAATCAAGCAGATTTTCCTCCTGATATTCAGCATTCAGCCTGGTCAGTTGTGATCCTGTTGTGTTTTGCTTTTTAGTTCCTTTAGATTTCACCCTTTTCTGAATTGAGTGGAAAAAATGTGATTGAAAGAATATTTATGTGGCAGCCTCTTGTCAAACATATATATAGTGCTGAAGCAGGGAATTTTCACTCAATGACAATGCCGTTTTATAAATAATACATACCTGAAAAAACTGCAGACACTTCACAATACCTACAATATTAGAAAAGAGAGGGAAAATATATTAGTGGACCTGATGAATCTAATCTTGCTTGGCTGGAGCTGGCAGAGCTGCTCTTTAGTGGATCATACTTCAAAAGTGACATTTATAATAAACTGAGCAGAATCATTGTTAATTTAGCTAGAACTACTCCAGCAATTTGAAATATTATGGCTTTCTCTTTTCTTCATCTATGTTAAGCTACTTTAACACAATATGCATTGTAAAAAGAGCTATAGGAGTGATAATGAACTGAACTTAATTTTTTTATTTAATTAAAGAACTACTTGTTCATCTTCAATGACTTAAGCGACATTTAACATTAATAACCTGTCACATGGATCATTCTGAATGTGCCCAACTTAGTCAAACACACTTTCCCTTTTCTTTACTTTCTAAATTGCACTACTTATTAGTCAGAAATCAGAAAGATTGCTCTGCCACAGTATGTTTACTTGCATGGTAAACTGACACCAAATTAAAGTCTGGCTTCTCCTTTTTATGCGCCAGACTTTTTATCGTAGACCAGAGGATTTTCCAACAGGTAAGTTATTTTACCGTTCTTAAAAAAAAAAAAAAATGCCATAAAGGCATATTTAGACAAAATAATCCACAGGACTCGACATTTGTTAAACACTTGCGCTATCAGGTTTGTTCCTCTCTCACGGTTCTCTGCCTCAGCCCACCAATAACAGAGTTCATGTGTGTCAGGTTCGGCATCATCCATGGCAAAGGGTATGTGACTGTGTATCCGTGTGCGTTTGACGCAGAAATATAAATCAGGATTTACTATGTGTGTCTGTGTCAATGTGAGTGCAGAGTGCTTCTTCACATAATGGCACAATTCTTTATACTCACAAGACGGAAATAATCCAGAGATCAGCAGAGATATGGCAAAGACACATTCAGAAGGGAAGACAATGAATCGCAGATCTTCCAGCATACGATCACCATTCACTGACAAAAATGGAAGACACATTTACTTTTATTATATACTACTTTATTATATTTTGTACTTTATCATCATCAACGACTTGATTAATTAACGCAATTGTGATTAATTCAGCACAAAATAGCTTGATGAATTTGAGTGTGTGTCTTTTACCTCTGTCACAATTTTGTTTCTACATTTAATCACTGATAATAAACATTGTTAAATTAATACATGTTCATAACATACTATGACATTTACTATGACATTTTCTCAAGCTAAGTGTAGAAAATATTGTATGTAAATGTAAATGTAATGTGTATTTATATAGCGCATTTATTGTGTATGGCCATACACCCAAAGCGCTTTACAATCATGAGGGGGGTCTCTCCACACCTCCACCAGTGTGCAGCATCCACTTGGATGATGCGACGGCAGCCACAGGACAACGGCGCCAGTGCGCTCACCACACACCAGCTATTGGTGGAGTGGAGAGAAAGTGATAGAGCCAATTCGGTGGAAGGGGATGATTGGGAGGCCATGATCGAATGGGCCGATAGAGGGACTTTGGCCAGGACACCGGGGTTACACCCCTGCTCTTTCACGAGAAGTTCCATGGGATTTTTAATGACCACAGAGAGTCAGGACCTCGGTTTAACGTCTCATCCGAAAGACGGCGCCCACTGACAGTGTAGTGTCCCCTTCACTTTACTGGGGCATTAGGATTCACATAGACCTCAGGTTGAGCGCCCCCTGCTGGCCTCACTAACACCACTTCCAACAGCAACCTGGTGTTCCCTAGTGGTCTCCCATCCAGGTACTAACCAGGCTCAGCCCTGCTTAGCTTCAGTGAGTAACCGGTCTTGGGCTGCTGGGTGATATGGCTGTGGACATGTATTTAATAAAGAGCATGATGTCCACTCACCTGTTTTCAGTATGAGTTCAGTCATCAGAGTAGCAGAGTTCAGTAAAACAATTCCAACTGATCCAAACACATAGACAGCAACAACACGATGGAAAACTGTAATTCAAGATTAGACATTTATTAACAGGTTCCAAAAACAATGCAAAACTACTGTATCATTCATATATAGACCAGCAATAGATTAACTGTATGTTTAATAGTCATAAAAAATAGGCAACACAGAAAACAGCCAAAGAGAAACTCAAACACTATTTTTTAATATATAGAAAGTTATTTTGTTTAAACTAATTAAGGACACTGTTGTAAGTAAGTAAGAGAGTAGTGTGTATTTATATATCGCATTTATCGTGTATGGCCATACACCCAAAGCACTTAACAACCATGAGGGGAGTCTCTCCACAGCATCACCAGTGTGCAGCATCCACTTGGATAATCCAATGACACCCACAGGACAGCGGCGCCAATGCGCTCACCAAATACCAGCTATTGGTGGAACGAAGAGACAGTGATAGAGCCAATTTGGTTAGATGGGGATGATTGAGAGGCCATGATGGGTAAGGGCCAATGGAGGGAATTTGGCCAGTATACTACTCTTTACGAGAAGTGCCATGGGATTTTTAATGGCAACAGAGAGTCAGGTTCTCGGTTTAACGTCTCATCTGAAAGACGGCACCCACTGACAGTATAGTTTCCCCTTCACTATACTGGAGCATTAGGACTCGCACAGACCACAGATTGAGTGCCCTTGCTAACCTCACTAACACTACTTCTAACAGCAACCTAGTTTTAACATGTGGTCTCCCATCCAGGTATTGACCAGGCTCAGCCCTGCTTAGCTTCAGCGAGTAACCGGTATTAGGCTGCAGGGTTTCAAGTTGCCATGATTAATTATTTTCCAGTTTATCTCAAACCTGCTTTGAGGCAGTGTGTTTTATAAAATGCTACACAAAAAAGGGACTTAAGTGGACCATTTTCAATGTTTAATTTCCTATAACAAATTGTATTTAGTCTGCATGGTGTATGAAATGATAGATTTCAGTTTTTTTTTTTTGTCTACAGCTTAAAATATCAAGTTTATCAGTTATATCTTTTTTTGTAACGCTATTATGCAAACTAATCATGAAGTCTATATAATATGTGACCCCAGGGGCGTTGCTAGGGTCGAAAGGGAAAAGGGGCTAAGCCCTTTGCCCCCCTCCTCCCCCTCCCCCCAGAAATTCCATATATGCCTCACAAAAGTAGTTGAACATTCCAGGAAATCCTTAATATGAATGAAGGCGTCCAGCTATTGCTGTAGTTGAATGAAAATAAGATCAAAATAAACATAAAAAGGCTTTAACTGATCAATTACACGACTGCGATAATAAATGGTTTAAATGTGTTAAGAATAAAGTTGATTTAAAATTCGGTGCTAACTGATATAGCATGTTATAATAGGAGCTATAAAATAACAAGCGAGATGCATTAACTCACTGTGACTTAACTATTACAGAAACAGATGTGCCTGGCTATATCATACCTAGATAAATATGTCTAGATATCTATATCATATGTAGAAAGCTAGTACAATTTTTTAAACAACGTTTTTCTGACAAATTTGTATTTACATTGATATGTTGCACATTTGATCGATTACTTATTTTATTTCAGTAAAACTACACACATTTTATACTGTGAAAACAAGAAATTAAGCTTTATCAGTAGTTAGAACTATTCAGTTTTGTGAAACAGTAGTTTTATTACCTTATCAGCATCAGCTCCTCAATATAATAAATGAATTACGATGACAGGGTTTCTTTAACACTATGGCTGCGTCCGAAACCGCATACTTCCATACTATATAGTACGCTAAAATCAGTATGTGAGCTGAGTAGTATGTCCGAATTCATAGAATTTGAAAATCAGTAGGCGAGAAGTACCCGGATGACTTACTACTTCCGGCGAGATTCTGAAGTGCGCATCCCATGCATGCTGCGCTATCCCATAATGCCCCGTGAGAGAATTCATGAATGGAAGTGAGGCGACGCAACTGATGCAGGTAGGTCACGTGACCATGACAAAATGGCGGATGTAGTGCGTCCGAATTCCATTCATACTTTTCACATTCATACTGTATAGAATGTACTTTTCTAATGGCTGAGTAGTACGTTTACAATTCCAATGCAGTACCTACTGAGTAGTAGGCGGTTTCGAACGCAGCCTATGTGACAACAGTGCAACTCCCACCTGCCGGTAGAAACAGGTACTGCTGAATAGCTAACTATTTAATTACATGACACAAACGCTGCGTTAAGTTGAGCGCGTGATGTATGTGCTAATTTTAAGGTCTTCGATAACAAAATAAATGTTATACAACCTATTTTTATTTAAGTGCTACATATTCTAAAAAATGGGGGGCTTTTGACAATACATCAGGGGCTTAATCCCCCAATGTCCACCCCCCTCGCAACGCCACTGTGTGACCCTGGACCACAAAACTAGTCTTTTGTGCTTGTGTATGTTTTAATAGGCAAAAATCCATTGTATATGTCAAAATTACTGAATGATTTTACTTTACATTACATTACATTTTACAATTACATTTTAATGACAAAAGATCATTTGAATATTAAGAAGTCACTGTTAAATGTCTTACTGTAAATATATTAGCATATATTTTTGTTTAGTAATACTGTATGCGTGGCTAAGAACTTGATTATCTAACTTTAAAGAAGAAAATCTTTTCAATATTTAGATTTTTTTTGAAGCCTCAGATTCCCGATATTCAATCCGTAACCTTAGAATTATAAGGTTCGATCTGACATTTTTGTCAAAATTGAGTAATTGACATATTCTTATTATATCTTATTTACATTATGGGATTTTTTTCATAAGTTGTTTACATTTTAAGACTTTTTTTAAAAAAAGAAAACAAATGTTACACACACAATGTTTGCTATGAAATGCAAAAACTTTGCTCAATATCTCAAAATCATTCAGAACGCAGACAGAACCTTATAATTCCAAGCTGACGAAATAGTTGTGTCTCAGTCAAATATTTAATCCCATCCTGACAAAGACATACAACTATAAAAAAACATATTTATTAAAAATTTAGGTGATGTAAAATTTCTATAAAAATTCCCCCAAAACATGACACTAACAGAATGACTAGATTTGTGGTCCAGGGTCACATATTACTAGTACCACAATGTTTATTTTGTAACAATCACTTTATGTTGTACTGATGCAGCTTAAACACACAGAATGCAGAAGATCAAGTAGATGATCAAGACTCACCATTGTCAAAATCAAGAAAATATACTGTAAACTTCATAATGGCCCAAAGGATTTGGAGAAACAGCATCACACAGGCCCATCCAATGGCATCTGTACATTAAAAAAAAAAGGTCAAATAAAGTAACAGTTTAATAGATACGCTTACTCCTGACTGGACACTTAAAGAGAAGTTAATACACTCCTCTATAAAACAACTTTGTAGGACAGTTTCTCAATCAGGGGAGCGCTGAGCCCTAGTGGTTTCATACTGAAATTGCATGCACTCTGTATCATTAAAAAATAAATAAGGAAGAGTTGTTGAACCCTCAGATCATAAATAATGAGTCAGATCATTTTTTAAGGCAGTAAAGTTTTCTTTTTAATAAAAATAAATAAGAATCTAAGCCTACTAAAAACCTTATATAAAATACCTTATTAAAAAAATGTACTATGTAAGTCAGAAAATAATGTTCTGCTTGAAAACCCGTCTACAATATAAATGTAATAACTAAAAGTTTATTATGCATGTAAATTTGATTAGGCCCTAATTTCAAATGGAGTCATTTGAATAATATGCATCAAAACTCATTTGCGCTCTATATACAGGGAGTGGGAGGAAGAGGTTTGTGATTAAAAAAAGTTTAGAACCACTGATGGAAGATATCAGATAATATGATGCTATTCCAAACTAAAATGAAAACTTTCAGGGTACCTGTTTTATTTTCCAGTGTCAATATGTAAAGGCCGATCATTGCTGCATTAATCAGTAATATGAAGATTAACATCACAGTTCTCATAATTGATTCAGAACCTGAAATGAATGTAAAAAGGTTTTCACACACAGCACTTTTATAATGGCAGAAATATATATGTCATTTGAACGTGTATGTATAGATATATGTATATATATATATATATATATATATATATATATGTGTGTGTGTGTGTGTGTTTGTGTGTGTGTGTGTGTGTATATATGTGTATATATGTATTTATACATAGTTAAAACCCTTTAGTTTACATACACTGCATAAAAAGGCACATAAGCATTTATAAAAAAAGTCAGATGTTAATGTGACTAAACTTTTTTTCTTTTAGGTAAGTTAGGATTATCACATTTGTTTCTTTTATACTTAATAGCAGAATAATGAGAGAGATTTTTTTGAGTAATTGTTATAACTTTTCTCGAAAGTCAAGTTTACATAAAGTAAGATTATTCTGCCTCTGATAAAGCTCAGATGATGGTGTCAAGGTTTAGGAAGTTTCTGATTGGCTAATTGACAACATTTTAGTTAATTGGAGGCACAACTGTAGAATAGTATTGAAGGAAAACCTCAAACACACTGCTTCCTTGTGTGACAAAATGGGAAAATCACCAAGCCAGAATCAACAAAAAAGCCAGATTACAATTTGCTAAATTACACTGGGAAAAAGGCTAATTTTTGGAGACATGTGCTGTGGTCTGATGGAACTAAGATTGAACTGTTTGGTCATAATGACCAGTGTTACATTTGGAGGAGAAAGGGGAAAGCTTACAAGCCTAGAAACACCATCCCAACTGTGAAGTATGGGGGCGGCAGCATCATGTTGTGGGGCTGTTTTGCTGCAGGAGGGACTGGTCCACTTCACAGCATAGATGGCATCATGAAGAAAGAACATCATGTAGAAATACTGAAGCAACATCTCAAGACATCAGCCAGGAAATTAAAACTTGGCCACAAATGGGTCTTCTAAACAGACCATGACCCCAAGCATACTGCCAAATTAGTTAAAATGTGCTTCAAAGACAACAGAGTGAATGTTTTGGAGTGACCATCACAAAGCCCTGACACTAATCCTATATAAAATTTGTGGGCAGAGTTGAAAAAGCTTGTGCGAGCAAGACAGCCAACAAATCTGAATCAGTTACACCAATTCTGTCGAGAGGAATGGGCCAAATTTCCTGCAAACTATTGTGAGAAGCTTGTGGAAAGATACCCAAAACATTTGACCAAGGTTATACCGTTTAAAAGCAAAGCTAAATAAATACCAAGGAAATGTGTGTAAACTTTTGACCGTCTAGAAATTAATACAAAAAATTCTCAAAAATAAATAAATAAATAAATAAAATTGTCTCATTATCCTGGCATTTAGCAAATGTAAATGATTTAGGTTAACCTAACGGACCTAAAATAGTAAACGTTTAGTATGATTTACCATCAGACATTTTTTTTAAAAATCGTAATGTTTCTTCTATAAAACTTCTGTTTTATTTATTTATTTACTATTATTTATTTTATTTTATTTTTTTGCATTTTACAGATCAATATATAAAAGGAAACACCACATTTCAAAAATGATCAAATACTTACAGTTGAGTCTATCATAGCATCTGAAAAACCATGTGTCGTTCGTCATCATCATTAACAGTGGTAATATGACAACAATGATGAACGCTAACAAGACAGGAGAGAAAATAATGTTGGAAATCAACAGAATAACAGATCTGAGCTGAATGATTTAAGTAGTTTAATAAAGCAGTCTCAGTATTTTTAATACATGTTTAAATGTTGATCTGCACTACAAATAACACAAACCAAAACTTCATAAATATGAACTCACCTCCACTGACAGATCCAAATGTGAAGAAGAGGAGGATGAATTGTAAAGTAGGCAGAATTTCAAAGATCATATCAGCCACAATGTCAAGTGTGTTAATTATCTGTCCACATTTCTTTCCAATCTGTTTAGCTAAAACTGCATGAAAAATACTGTTTGATTACTTGATTCAAGTTTGAGTCAATATTATTCCAATATTAAAGGGAAAGTCACCTTTAAAAACTTAAAGGGGGCCTATTAACCTGTTGTTTACTGTTTACTTTTTACTGTTGTTTTGTGTCAACAGTACAAATGTGTTAATTTTATTTTTTATAATCACACTTGATAAAAACTGTCTGCAGAAACACTTTGATTGACATTCTCCCTTTGCATGTATCATAAAACAGGGAAAAACCCCACCCACTAGTGATGATCTGTCCCTCATTAGCATAGAATGTTACACTCAGTTTTGGAATCTGCCACTATGCTGACACACAGGCATGTGTAGCTCCGCCCTCTTTTAAAAAGAGCACAATCTTATTTGAATTTAAAGCGACAGTCACCAAAACGCCACAAATAGGATCAAAGCCTAAAAGTTTCGAAGAGTTATCAAATTTTATTTGTTGAGATATTTTGGGAGATATGTTTTGGGAGATATGTTACATCTTGTAAAAAGGGCATACTATGTCCCCTTTAAAGCAGAAATTAACAAAGTTTTTTATTTTTTTATTTTATAGAAGCATTGTATTATTAAGAGTAACAGCCTTTTCAAAAAAATAGCATGTATTAATCTAATAATACAATTCTACAAAAGGGTGCCCTTTATCAAAAATTTCACACAGTAATGGCCATATGTACCAAACAATAAGACAATATCTGGTAAAATGTTAGTGTGACTGTACCTTTAATTTCACAAGGTTTTTTAACAACATATTTAGTGTAATATTCAGTTTTTAATCTTATAATTAAGCATTCAGTTAGTTGGATTATAGGAATACTTACTGTAAACAATTTTGCAAAGGCAGCACAGAAAAACAACTGCAAACAGCATTATTATCATGTGTTTCTCAAACTCTGCATAGTTCACAAGTTTTTCAAAAGCTGTAGCAAAAAGAGCTGAAAGAAACAAGATAAAAAATTAAACACTGGCAAAATCTGAATACAAATCATAAGATAACACTTAACTTAACTTATGTTTATTTTAAGGTAAATCTTACTTTGTACACTGTACTGTACACTTACTATACATGTCTTATTATAGTCTATTTTACTTACAATACTATAATTTATAGTATAATATCTCTGTTACAGCCTGAGATAATTTTTTTATAAGTTTCTAATATTGTAATCTGTTCACTGCTGTTATGAAACATTAAACAATAAAATGGTAAAGACAATTGGTGTAGTTATTCGCCATTGTCGCCACTAGCTAGCATAGACTGGAACTTGTAGAGCTGCGCATCGATGGGTTACTCCTCAGTGTTTGGACTCTCAGCAGTGAAAATTAAACCACACTGAACTGAACTTAAAATCTGAAAACTGAACTGACACAGTTTCAATTTAACATACTCTTCTATGTGAAGCTGCTTTGACACAATCTACATTGTGCGCTATACAAATAAAGGTGAATTAAATTGAATTAAAACATGTGAGTAGTAAATTGATGAAAGCTTTTAGTTTTGAAGTATTGTATTTGTGAATCTATGTTTTAGTAGAACAATTATATCAGTTATAAACAATTATATCAACAATTAAACAGTGGAATTATATTAGTGTTTAATTCTTATGAATAAAAAAAAAATGATTAAATGATTTAGTCCTGCAAGCATACATAGATATAACACTAAAAACATCCAGGATCTGTCATACTCGCATAAATCATCTATCATGTGCAGATGTTTAATTTGTATTTATTTGCCATGTTTTACGTAAAGTACTGTTTCAGAAATTACAGTACATATTTTTTATATGTTTACTTGAACGTGTTCATGATATTAGGACATGTCTGACATTTTTTTTACCTGTATAAATAACAATTGAGAGAGACACATATTCAGCAACATAACTGTATTTCAGAATCAATGTTTTAATGTTACCTGTAACACAGAAAATGTTAGAATTACAATCACAAAATCATGCACAACATCTATATACTTCAGCACACACACACAAGAAATACATAAATAAAAGTTTTAAATCATCTTTCTTTTGGTAAATCGCACAAAAAAGGACAATGTATGATGATTTGGACACTATAATTAATGTTCTGATCTCCTCTAATAAAGTAACCATACCTGTGAAGTTACTGATAAATGGAGCAGCCCAGAGCAACAAAAGAGGCCTCAGAAAATAAAGAGCACAGCAAGAGACCGACTCATTCAGAGATCCTGAAACAAACAAACAAAAATACAGTTAAAGTCAGAATTAATAGCCACCTTGGATTTTTTTCTTCTTTTTTAAAAAATATTTCCCAAAATATGTTTAACAGAGCAAAGAAATTTTCTGATAATATTTTTTTCTTCTGGAGAAAGTCTTATTTGTTTTATTTTGGCTAGAATAAAAGCAGTTTTTAATTTTTTAAAACCATTTTAAGGTCAAAGTTATTAGCCCCTTAAAGCTAAATATTTTTTAATAGTCTACAGAACAAACCATCATTATAAATTAAGTAGCCTAATTACCCTAACCTGCCTAGTTAACCTGATTAACCTAGTTAAGCCTTTAAATGTCACTTTAAGCTGTATAGAAGTGTCTTGAATAATATCTAGTCAAATATTATTGACTGTCATCATGACAAAGATAAAATAAATCAGTTATTAGAAACGAGTTATTAAAACTATTATGTTTAGAAATGTGTTACAAAAATCTTCTCTCTGTTAAACAGGAATTGTGGAAAAAATAAACAGGGGGGCGAATAATTCTGAATGCAACTGCATATTAAATATGATAATTCACTAAAACATTTCCTGATCTTTACCCAACTTGCCTTCGATGTACAACCAAACCAGCCATACTGTTACATACTTTTTGGTCTTGTTTGAAACTGTCTGATTTTTGGGGGAAAGTCTTGTGTTTTTAGACCCAAACCCCTTAACAGCGCTGTTTGGAATCCTGCCAGAATAAGTTAAATTCATTACAGGCTGATGGTGTAGCCTTTGCAACTTTACTGGCTAGATGACTTATTCTTATGAATTAGAAGTCAGCAGCTCTACCTTGTTTTCGGCAATGGGTTTGTGATTTTTTACAAGCTCTTAAAATGGAAAAGATTCAGTTCGCAATAAAACAAAAACCACAACCATTCCAGAAAGTCTGGAACCCTTTTCTACATTTTTTTTAAAGAGACACCTATATATATGTATAGGTTCATTTATTATTATTGTTTTTTTTTTTGGCTTAGTCTCTTTAGTAATCTGGGGTCGCTACAGAGGAAGGAACTGCCAACTTATCCAGCATATGTTTTACGCAGTGGACGCCACGCCAATTACAACCCTACACCTGGAAACATCCATACACTCTCATTCATACACACACATTACGGCCAATTTAGCTACCCAATTCACCTATACCACATGTTTTCGGACTTGTGGAGGAAACCAGAGCACCCAAAGGGGAGAACATGCAAACTCCACACAGAAATGCCAACTCACCCAGCTGGGGCTCAAACCAGTGACCTTCTATGCTGTGAGGCAATTATGCTACCCACTGCACCACCGTGCTGCCCTAATTATTTCTGTATTTATTTTATTTTTATTTGTTATATTTTATTTTCCTTCTGTTTGTTGTTTATTATTTTTATTGTGTTATATCTTAGGTGTGTATAATTTTGTGTATATATATATATATATGGTACTTTTGCCTTATTATTTATATATTTATTTAGTGTGTAATTATGTAATAAAATATGTAATGTTTTGATGTCAGAACTAATGTTGGAACTGTAAAAATATAATGACATGCTATAAATATAAATATAATATATATTATATATCATAGCATATAGCATATATAGCAAAGAAAGCATTTCAGATTATACCTTGTCTTTGCATTTATTATTAAACATACACAACTTGTAATTATATTTTGTACACTCACCTTCAGAAATTCCCCACAAGGCAAAAGCACAGGACATGATCATATTTGGACAGATGACCAAAAACATCTGAAGATGGAAATATGCATCTAGGGAAAACATTCAAAATATTAATATTTGAATACATTGTGTTGCACTAATAGTGGCACTTTAATCAGCTTCATTTTAAAGATCAGATTTAAAGATCAGGGAGTAAGCAAAAGAGATAGATAGGGGTCCAAATGCAGTGTCAGACAGATTTTGCGAACCCCCTCAATTTTGCTAAACTAGAAAGGTAGGATGGGTGCTGTGCTGCAGAGGGAACAAGAGAGAAACAGCTCCTGAAACACTGCTGTGGCAGTGGTGTAATGTAAATGCCGACTCTCACTGTAAAGACTTTCAGTGGTATAAAGATCTTCAGTGATATAATGAGTATCAGTAGTATCAGTAGTAAAATGCAGATATGGAAGTGCTGTAGCAGTGATCTATAACCAGTACAGTGGCAGCAGAGCTACTGCACAATGAGATGCTTTGCAGGTATTTATTTACTGGAGCCTATATATGGAGTAGCTCATCTTTGGTGTGTGCTGACTTACCAAGTATTCCAACTTCCAGGTTTGTTTTAGTTGAAAACACAGTATTTTGCTGACTGTAAACTGTACACGTGTATTCTCCCTTATCTTCAGCTGTCAGATTGTCCAGACGGAGGGAGAAGTTTCCATGTTGAATCTGCTAAGTAAAGAAATGAGCTCGGTTTTGCTCATCTTCATCCTGTTCTTCTGGTAGACTCTCACCATCCTGATACAGATGAACCAGAGTCTCTAAGTCTGATCTTCTCCATTCCACCCTCAGATCTGATAAGTCTTTATTACAGTAACAAGGCAAAATGACTGAAGATCCCAGAGGTATAACCAGAGGACCAGAGGGAGTTTTTACTATGAACCCTAAAAAACAAAAATACACTTAAGTATTGTTAAATTAGTTCATGCAAATGAATGCATTTCTATGCTTGTTTATGGTAGAAATCTACGCATGATCCTAAAATAATGCTTATGCCATCTTAAATATTTATTTATTTTTTAAGTTATATTCAAATTGTCAGACTACAAAGAGCAATTCATTCATTTTCTTTTCGGCTCAGTCCCTTTATTAATCTGGGGTCGCCACAGTGGAATGAACCACCAACTACGCAGCGGATGCCCTTCCAGCTGCAACCCATTACTGGGAAACTTCCATACACACTCACTCACACACATACACTACACTACGGACAAATTAGCGTACCCAAGTCACCTATAGCGCATGTCTTTGGGGCACAAGGGAAACCGGAGCACTCAGAAAAAAAACACACCAACAGGAGAAGAACATGCAAACTCCACACAGAAATGCCAACTGTCTCAGCTGAGGCTCGAACCAGTGACGCCCAATGATACAGAACAAACAGTTGTTATTCCAAAAATGGGAGCAATCATTTTCATTCATTAATTTTCCTTCGACTTATCAGAGGTTGCCACAGCGGATTGAACTGAAAACTATTCCAGCATATGTTTTACGCAGCAGATGCCCTTCCGGCCGCAACCCGGTACATACACTCTCGCATTCACAGACACTCTTAAGCAGGTCGCACACCAGAAGCCTCGCTCGGCGCCGCGACACGCACATGACAGATTAAAGTATCACACACCAGACGCGCACATTCGAATGATATTTAACATGAAACTAATCAGATGGTGCTCTGTGGCGCGGCTGAAAAATGAACTGCATCCTGAGTCTTGCGGCGCCGGTGTGTGTATCCTGATAGAAACCTATGTTTAGAATTCTAAAATGCATGGCGCTGCGTGGCGCTGCGTGGCGCTGCGCAGCGCGCCGCCGAGCGGCGCTTCTGGTGTTCGACCTGCTTTACACTACAGTCAATTTTCTTCATCCAGTTCACCTATAGTGCATGTGTTTGGACTGTGGGGGAAACTAGAGCACCAGGAGAATACCCACGCCAACACAGAGACAAGATGCAAACTCCACACAGAAACGCCAATTGGTCCAGCTGGGACTAGAACCAGCAACCTTCTTGCTCTGAGGTGACTAATCAAGGTGCCACCCCAAAACAAAAATTATCAAATAAAAATTATATTTTGAAAATGATATCAGAATTTAGTTTAGAGCCACAGAGACGTAGCTGTCTAGTGCACAATGCTTCATTCAACAATGCAACACTAGCTATGTTTCCATCCAAAAATGCGAATGTACTTTATGTGCAAAACTGGATTATCGCATAAAAGACGTGTGAATAAATCAGCGTTTCCATCCAACGAGTCAAAGCAAACAAAATCATCACTTTCTGATTACCTGGCGCCAAATATCAACAGTAAAAACTGAATTTGCTGCAGTAGGAGAATCTGTGTCAATCTTTTCTTCATCTAATAAATCACTTGCACATCAGAAGGCAATCCTGACATGCAGTGAACACGCGGTGACGTTTGAAGGCATCAGACGTGGAGCACAGATGCTCTTGATTCTGAGAGTCATTAATAATATAACACACAAATACTTAAAGAGTAAGGTGTTTTATAATGACCAAAACAACAGTTCAGATGTTTTACAGTGTGCTCGGCCTGATGGTTTGTCCATTCACCCACATTTTCATCATCACATGATCTCTTTTAACAAAATCACATGACCTTCAAACTGGAGTTTGTGTGGCAAAACTTTTTCCATCTCAGTTTATGAAAATCTTTTCGTATCAAATAAAAAGTTTATCCTACTCTGTTTTGCGCATGTTTCTTATGCACATTTTCAAAATTTATGCGCATCTTGACGTTTCCATCAACAGTTTTTTTATGCTCATATAAAAATAGGTGGATGGAAACATAGTTACTGTCAGCGCCAATAGTTTAGTGGTTAGTGCGTCAACATATAGCACCGAGGTGCTCATGGCAACCAGAGTTCGATTCCCGGCTCAAGGTCCTTTTTCAACTCTTCCCCCATCTCTGCTCCCCATACTTTACTGTCTGTAAATCTCCACTGTGCTATCACAATAATAAGGTGAACAAACCCTAAAAAAATATAATAAATGCAACACTGCAGTAGACCACTTTTATTCACAATTTGCGTTTGCATTTACATTTTCAAAATAATTAATTTTCTGTGATTTGTGATCCTGTTCCCTCATGGGGACCAATAAAACAAAAGTCCCCACAAGGTTAAAATGTGCTAGTATTGCTGCTTGTGGGAACATTCCCATAAAGTGAACTCCTCACTTACCTGCAAGAGATGAAGAGTGATCATATTCTACAGAAAACAAGAAAAATAATTACATGATAGAAGTAGACAAAAACAGATACAATTGTGTTTTCTCATCATATCATTTATTTTAACTTTTTTATTGCGAGTGTTTTTTCTTTTGGCAACATACAGTATCGCATTAATGGCAGGTAAAGAGTTAATAACATTTAATTATCAATCAATTAGTTCAGCAAATATACAACTTGCATTTGGAAATAATACACATTTATGTTTCATTTTTAATCAAATCAAACAAGTTAACAGACTGAGCCGCTGCATTTAATTTGCATTACATCATTACTTGCATTAATGATTGGAATCAAATTCATTTGGTCAAACAGTTATACAGTACTTCAAGCATTTACTTACCCAGCTCCAAAATAACTTTAGTTGAAAATACATGATTATGCTGACTGTGAACTCTACATCTGTATTCTCCAGCATCTTCAGTTCCAAGATTGTCCAGACGGAGGGAGAAGTTTCCATGTTGAAACTCCTCAGTAAAGAAATGAGCTCTATCATGATAATCCTGCTGCTGGACCTCTGCTCGACTCTCACCATCTTGATACAGATGAACCAGAGTCTCTGAGTCTGAATCCAAGTCTGCTCTTTTCCACTCCACTTTCAGATGCTTCACAGGTTTATCAACATAACAGGGCAAAACCACTGAAGATCCCAAAGAAACAAATGGTTGAATGATCCCTGAAAATCAAAAGGCATTTTATTCATAATGTGAGGGAAATTAATGATTGAAGGACTATTATTATCATCATCATCATCATCATCATCATCACTGTATGACTGTATGCATAACAGTCCATCAATTGCTATTGAATAAAACTCTGTTAAAAGTTTTAATTATTAATTTTATTAAAGTAAAAACTTTAATATGTACATTATAAACAATAAAAGCTTTGACTTCTCTTGTCAATTTACTGTTAGTGATTGTTTAAAAGTTCATACAATTGTTTCAATTAACTAACACTGTTGAAGCCTTCAGTGAGTTAATGGGGTAGTTCAACCCTGGATGGGTTTGCACCAGCTGATCGTAAGTTCTTTCTTAAACTGGAACGTAAAGTCCACACTAAGTAGCTTAGTAACTACTTGCTAGTTTGTAACTAAACTTGTTCTTACTTCAGTTGCACCACATGTTCTTAAGGCAAACTGTAGTTAGTAGGTCGTAAGCTCTCCGTAAAGTAATACTTAGTTGCATCGACTGACATAATATCCAATAAAAAGCATTGCAAGCTTTAAACTGCTAGACAATTCTGCAACTAATGTGCCTATATATAACTGTCCTCTGAAAATTAAAAGACAAATTCTATTTCTATAATACATGATTACATTACAGTGAGTCACTATAAAGGATGACACACATAACCTGCATCTCGAGTTGTGAATCACGCTAAATACACATGAAGTTATCAAAACATTAAACAGGATTTTTGTTTTATATCCTGCACAAAAAAGAAAAGAGCAGTGGATGGATGATGGATACAATAAACACAAAACACTCCTTGAAAGAAAGTTAAAGTCTTCTTTCACAAACCAAAGAAAATGCAAGATTTGGGAGGAAATAAGGGCTGTGAGTAGAGAGATCATTCTTCATTATCATCGTGAGCTTCTCAATGTAAACTAATCTTGCGGTCATCTCTTTTCTACTGTTATACATGGGGGACACTGCTGTAAATATTTAGTTGGAACGTAGCGTTACGTTTAAGCTCAGTGGTGCGAAACAAATATTTAGCAGAGTGTACAATGTGACTTAGTGTCCCTTTAGGTCACAACTAGGCAGTGTTTTAACTTACAAACTGCTGGTGCAACCAGCTCCTGGACCCTAAATCTAGCCATGCAGTAATTATTGTTTTGTTTTGTTTTTTGTCACCGAGGTGTAGACATGACAAGAATGCAGAATAAATATGCTTTCACTGATGTATAGTTTGTCAGAATGGACAATATTTAGCCAAAATGCAACTATTTGAACAATATTTAATCTGAGAGTGCAAATAAAAATCTAGTTCCTGAGAAAGTCACCTGCAACGTTGTGCAAATAAGGTGATTAGCATTTGTATTACTAGGATTTAAGTATTACTTTATGCCATTACAAAGTATATTAATGTAACATGACCTTTAATATTCTAAAGTTTTTAGTAAAAAAAAATCTATTATTTGATCATGCTATTGTCAAAAGTATACATATGCAACACAAAACAAGGGTCACAAATGCTCACAAGTTGTTCCAAATCTGTTCATTACCAAATCAAATCAGTAATTAAAAATCTAAAAATGGACACTGTCAGCAGTTTGATAATTCCCATTCTTGTGATGTTCAACAGGACAAAGAAGCATACAGGTTTGGAACAGCATGGAAGGAGTACTGGAAATTTATACTCAAGTGAAAATACTGTTACACTGCTAAATTTATACTCAATTACAAGTAAAACTATTGTCAAAACAAGCTTAAGTAAATGTATATTTAACAATATTTTCCAAAAAGCACAAACACACCCCAAACATCCTCTCTCTCTCTCTCTCTATATATATAGCTGTATTATGTTAATAGGTAAAGTCTGGGTATTTTGAGCTAAAGCCTAAAATTAAACTTTTGTTAATTAATAACATGCTAAAAAAACCTGCTGCTCAGCCAAAACCGCAAAAAGTGCAAATAAACGTCAATCAAAGGCGGCAACACCAAGGCTCCAAAAATACAAATTTATTGAATTAAAAAGGCTGATGCAGAGCGTGTAACATTTCGAGCAATCCGGCTGATGAAGAGCCTGTGTCAGCCTTTTTGATTCAATAAATTTTTATTTTTGAAAACCTTGGTGTTGCCACCTTTGATTGACAATTAATAACATGCTAAAATGAAGTTAAGCTACATTCTAATTTCCTTACAACGAATAAGAATATCTGTACCTTTAGTAGATCTGCAGTAGATCATGAAGCAGAGCAGAAGAGCAGATCCAGATGCAGAAACACACAGAATCATCATTATTATGTGTAAAACTGAGAAACCTGAGAGAAACAAACACATTACTCAACATGAGAACTATCAGAAATATCTTTAACATCTTAATACAAACCCTAATCTATAAGCTTAGAGAGAGAGAGAGAGTTTGACTTTTAGAAAACCTTTAAATGGTTTTCAGCACAATTATTAAAAAAATTATCACATTTATTCCATAAATAATTCACAAAAACTTTAAAAAAGAAAAACAAATTTCCAACTTCCTTTCTAAATCATTGTGCAGACAGTATATGTGCATCATATTCATTGCTCTGTTAGTGTAAGTAAATGTCTGTAAATGTTTGTGTTTTGTCTGGCGCACTTCACCGCTGTCATTTTACTCTGCACCCCCACCCTCTTGCTCGCCCCTGATGTGCAGGTAAAGGGAGTTTGCGATTGTAAACACAGCGCCCCCACTGTTCAAAACATGTAGCGTGACTCATTCAACATTTCACCTGATCCTCTCTCAGCTCCTGCAGCAGCCGGTTGTATTCTCAGTGCTGTAGATCTTCACAGGCCCACGTTTGCAGCAGATAAATAGATGACACTTTTTTATTGGTTATCTTTGAAATTAAGCATGTTATGTAGTGATTCCATTAATATTGAGTGTTTTCTCTGAACAATGTTCACTTTCAGCAACATGTAAGCTCATTCGCTCTCTGTTAATATCACCATAAATGTTACTTAACCCAGTGGTTCTCAAGCTTTTTTTGCCTGAGACCCCCTTTGCCCCCAGAAAATATTGTAAGGCCCTCCTCAACATTTAATTAAATTATTGCTCATATAAGTTTGCAGTAGGTATGACAACAAAAGGCTGTTTTCAAACAAACGATATGTTTATTACTATAGCTAGGTATGTTTACGCACAAATAATAATAGCCTGATGTAAAATATAGAAGCAACACATCAGAAGGTCATTTGTATGGGGTGCACCTCGCAGTATTGGGGAGTCGTCTGCAAATGTCTTATTAATTTGACATTAATCCACCTATTATTAATTAATTTATTAACTATCTTGGTATTTTCGGCATTTCATGTTTCCAGTTTTGCTAGCGCTGCAACCCGAAATGTTCACCTGGGTTCAGTATGCTTGGGTCATTACTATTAGCTGCTGAAAGTGAATCAGTGAGTCTTTTTTGTGGAGGACGAATTACAAAATTGTGCATTATTTGTCAGCCAGGGGATTAAAAAAAACAAAACAACGTGATCGCTTTCCTAACGGTCCACTGCTAAAAAAATGTTTCAAGTATGAGGCAACACAGAGCTTGCTAAAGCCTCCTTGTGGGCTGGGGCCCCCCTGTTGGGAACCGCTGACCTAACCAACTTCAAGATTGTAACGCCCACTAATTGTTTTGTAAGGTTTTGGAAGCTACAAAGTTTCTGCTATAGGGCTCTATTTTGACGGTCCATGCGCAGAGCGCAAAACGCAGGGCGCAAACGCTTTCAGGGCGTGTCAGAATGCATTTTTGCTAATTTACGGATGGGAAAATGCGCTTTGCGCCAAGGCGCATGGGCTAAAAGGGTTGAGTTTATTTTCTTAATGAGTTGTAGGTGTGTTTTGAGAATAAACCAATTAGAGCCTCATCTCCCATTACCTTTAAGAGCCAGCTGTGTCGCGCCATAAGCGCATCCACTATTTACAGGACGCAAATTAAATCTAAATAGAAAACTTGAGCATTTCACAAGCAAACAGTTCACAGTTGACAGTTTTTTAACAGAAAACTGTTAAACAGAGCATCTACTGCGTGAGAATGAGAGATAATGGATCACTTTCACTTTCGCTCTTGGTTAGGGAAACCTTTATGCACAGACATCAATTAGCCTATAAATAATTAATTTCGTTTGTTAAGCGCAAATATTCATTTCAAAACTATTTCTAAATTCAGTTCTAATTTCCAGCAAATTAATAAATGAACATTAATAATAAAGTGTGGTCAAAATACTCAGTTATTTTTAAACATACCTGCCATGCCCCTTATGGTCTAAAACCTGACAGGTGGGCAAATCTAAGCTTGTTTTAAATAAAACAAATATAAATATGGATATAATAAATAATACTGCTTATAATAAAAACATTATACAAAAGCAAATTGTTATGAATGAACTGAAAAAGCCTCTCGAGATGAAGAAGACATAAAAGCAGTGGTTTTTCATATTTATGTAGGCTAGAAAATAAGATGTTTTGTAATATTTTAATCCTTTATATTTATATTCTATATCTATTCTTATTATATCCTCTATATATATCCTTAATATTTACATTTTTTATATGTAAAGATTTTTGCCTATTGCTCTCTTGTGCGTATTAAGCAGTGCGTAAGCGAGGCGCAACTCTGCGCAGGAGTTTAGACCGGGTTAGTTTTGGTCTAATGAAAAATCTATTATGGTTTCTCATAATAGCAACGCGCCAGCCGTCCGCCTCAGAACACCTTCCTTTTTAGACCAGAACGCCTATGGGCGCAAAAATGAGCGCTAATGCATTTGCTATTTAAACAGCGTAGCACAACGCCTCAAAACCACTCTTGCGCCAAGCTGAAACTACCAAAAGACCATTGCGTCACGCCTTGTGCCACACTGCGCTGGGTGTATGATAGGGCCCATAGTGTCTATGATGCATAAGATGATGCCTTCTAGACAGACAGAATAAAAGACAGACACAGGACACACTGTATTCTTTATCAATCTGAAAACCCAAATCCAACTTTTTAGCCTAAGACCACCATTTTGAATGAATGTGGAGACCACAAGATTGCATCCAAATCTATTCATAACCATGTCTGGATACCTTGAAACTGCTGTAAACTACAACCTGTTTCTCTTTTTATTCAGGGAAATAAGTATTCTTAGTAAGAGCCATTTCTAGTGCAACATCTTCAATAATATAAGCTGTTATATTAAAACAACAATTAAATCTTTTCTACATCTGGTTTGGAGCATGTCTGCATTACAGACGGTGAAGTGCACTTGTGAACTTTTTGGGAAATATGAAAGTATCAATATTAATATTAGAGGCTAAAAATCAATACACACTGAACACCAAATATAGTTTGGTGATACAAACTTAGGCCTCAACATATTGTGATTATATAGTGACTCACCCAGTCTCTTCAGTACCACAGTAACACTGGCTGATAAATCTCCAGCAAACACTTGACACATGTAAACTCCTTTATCCTCAGTTCTGACACTCTTCAGTCTGAGAGAGAAATTTCCTTTGGGGATTTTAGCAGTAAAGAACTCAACTCTGCCTCTGAATTTGTCATGTGTGGCCTCTGATACGGTCTCACTGTTTTGATAAAGCAAAACTGGAAAATCTCCACCTTTATCTGCTTTCTTCCATGAAACCTCTTCTATGTGTTCAGGTGTGATGTGAGAGTCTACAGAGCAGTTCAGAGTCACGTCCTCACCAACATATGCAAAGATGGACTCATCTGAGCCTGACACCAGCAAACGCTCTGAAAGAAGAAAAACACCATGCAATATCACAGCAGGAAACATGAAGTTAGTGCATAACATACATTAGATAGTCAAAACTCACCAACATCTTTTATCTGAGCCACCGTTTCTCCAGAATCCTGCTGGCTGTGAACTCTACACCTGTATTCTCCTTCATCTTGAGCTGTCAGATTGTCCAGACGGAGGGAGAAGTTTCCATGTTGAATCTCCTCAGTAAAGAAATGAGCTCTATCATGATAATCCTGCTGCTGGACCTCTGCTCGACTTTCACCATCTTGATACAGATGAACAAGAGTACTTGAGTCTACTCTTCTCCATTCCACCTCCAGATCCTCCACTGGTAAAGCTTCATCAACATAACAGGTCAAAACCACTGAAGATCCCAGAGGAGCAGACAGAGGAGCAGAGGGACCACCAACAGTGAAGCCTGAAAACAAACACAACGCTGAATGAGATTAAGACTGTTTTTTTTATTATTATTATGATTATTTTCTTGATTATTTCTTTGGACTGTCATGAAGTGTAGTGAGACAAGACATTAGTACAGAGTATTTAAAATGATCCTGACAATCAAATGAAATACAAAAGCATTGATGCTAAAACTAATAACTCTTACAAAAGAGTCAGACTTCATTCATAAATATTGTTCATGTGCTGATGGCAAGTCTCCTTTCACTTTAATATAGACAAATTAAATTCATCTTTGTTTGTATAATGTGATTACAATGTAGATTCTGTCAAAGCAGCTTCACATAGAAGATTTGAGTGAATTGAAACCGTTCAGTTCAGTTTTCAGAGTAAAACAATGCTGCAAATCTAGTCTGATCATGTGATGAGGAAATAAAGCCTGAGTAAATAAATAACACTACAGCAAACAATAAAATCAAAGACCAAGACTGAATCAAAAGTAAAGTTACCACTAATGCAAGAAGTATAATCTTTATAATGCATCGGAGCAATAATGCAAAGTTATTAGTCTGTGAAATCTCTCTTACTAGAAACAAATATGTAAAATGAAAGAAATAAATCAGAATAAAAGCTTTAATTTGTCATCATAATCATCCTTTTACTTTTTCCTTTTACCTTCTGCATGGGAGTCAGTTGCTCGACCATAGCCTCTAGCGTCTGTCAAAAGAGCACCTTTAGAGGTCAGAGGAGTGAGGACTACCTGCACAGCACTTACTAGCTGGCCTCCGTTATACTCACGCCCCTAAATCCTCACTCCCATTCGGGTCACGGCAACAATGTAACCTCTCCGAGGTGGTATCGAACCGGCGACCTCCTGCTTGGGAGTCGGTTGCTCTACCACGGAGGCTAAAGACCATGGCATCTAGCATATGTCACTAGACTATTTGTCACTTACTATTTACTATTAATACTATATATATATATATATATATATATATATATATATATATATATATATATATATATATATATATATATATATATATAATTAGGTTTATACACTAAAGAAAAATGCATTATGGAGCAAATACATACAGTGGGTAGAGTTTAAAAGTAAAATGATAGTCTTTACAGCAAAAAGTTCATAAGCTTCATAATTTAAGTCAAAGTGTCCAAAACTATAACTGATACTGATACTGTAAGTTTATATTGATTTAAAGAGGATTTACTGTATTTTAGGTGCCTTTAGAATTACATTGAATTAAGTGAGAAAAACAAAGTGCCTACCATCAACCAGGATTACAGCGGCAAAAATTAACAAAAGCAGTTCCATGTTCAGACATTTTCATCTCTCTAGATCATCAAAACGTGCATGAAGAAAACACATTTAAACCGCCATTGCTTTCATCCAGAAGTGACAGGCAAAGAAAGCTACAACTGCAGTTCATCCAGACAAACCAGTTCTGCTTAAATGGAAAAAACAATGTCTTGTAGAAATGGAGAGACAAAAATGCAACTGTAAATGAAGCGACCTGAAACTGCACTCGATTTTAGATAAACTGGAAACTGAGCAGTCATTTCAAGTTTTATAATAGTTTAAGGAGAATCTTTCCTTGGTGAGATTTGGTGCATACCTTTAGCCTGAGCCTGAGAAGAAATATGTATAAAAACATTTGTATACTTATATACAGTACATTCATGTATTGTTCACAATACATACTTATGCTTTTAATTGTATTAGCTATAAATTCTTAATATTTTATTGAATTAAAAACAAATCTGTTGGTAAGTAAATGAACAGGGTATTTTCATTTTAGGGAGAACATGAGTCTGATTCCAGCGACGTTCCAGGGACAGACGAGTCTTCGCTGAGGCCATCTTCCAGCCTTAACCACGGCGAATGAAGCTCTGCACAAGACTTTTGGCCAGCGGAGAAATTAAAATGGTCGTGCCCAACTGAGTCTGGTTCCCTCAAGTTTTTTTTTTTTCTTCACTCCCATCAGGTGAAGTTTTTTTTCCCTCTCCGCTGTCGCCACTGCCTCGCATGATTCAGGATTGGTAGAGCTACGCATCGATGAATTTGCTCTTCAGTGTTTGAACTCTCAGTAATGATTAAATCACACTGAACTGAGCTAAACTGAACTGAACTGAACTTAAACACTAAAACCTGAACCACACTGTTCCAGTTACTATGACCATTTATGTGAAGCTGCTTTGACACAATCTACATTGTAAAAGCGCTATACAAATAAAGCTGAATTGAATTGAATTGAAACTATCCCTTTTGCATTAAAAGTGCTGTATACAGCGTAGACTCAATAGTCAGGCTATTGAAATATATATATATATATATATATATATATATATATATATATATATATATATATATATATATATATAATATCTCATCTCATTTTCATTCATCTACTTTTCTGGGGCCAAGCTGAAGGGTCCCTCTCCCCAAACACTTCATCCAGCTCCTCTAGGGCAATCCTGATTTGTTCCCAGGCCAGTCGAGAGACATAGTCCCTCCAGCGTGTCCTGTGTCTCCCTTGAGGCCTCCTCCCGGTGGGACATGCCTTGAACACCTCTTAGCAAGGGACATATTTAGTGCTCATAAAATTTTGGAAGTGTTACCAGTAATCCCAACACACCAACAATATAAACGCTTAAAATCCACAAGCATGGTGACATTAGTGATGTTTTATTTATATTCACAAGTTTTAACAATATAAGTAACAGTATATTACCCAATGCTTTAATCTACATGGTAATGCCATAAATATATAGATAATACTTTAAATATTCAGTCACATTCAATTTGATGGAGTTAATCATACTATCATGAATAATACATGTACAGAGATGTTCAAACTTAAAGTCTGTGTGAAAGCAAAACTTACAATGTTTTTTTTTTTTTTGCTAGCGCACATTGCCATTGTTTAGATGCACAATTAATCCATGCAAGTTAACGCACTGGATTTTTTTGTTTGTTTTGTTAATCTTCAGTGAAAGACTGAGCATTTCCTTCTTATTATAATAACAATAATAATACGTTATATTTATATAGTGCCTTTAAAGTAGCATCTCAAGGCACTTTACAGACTTCTTCTTCTTCTGACTTGCTTCTGAGTTTGGAGTGGGCGGTCCTTCTCTGATGATGTCAGTTTCATCAGTCTTCAGCCACAGTGTTCTTAACCTCACCCCTCTTACCATTAGCTTGCTATGAGGGAATGATGAGCAAAAAGGAAGCCCCGCCCCCTTCTCAATATTCAGTTTCAGTTGGAAGCACATCAACAGGGTTGGATCCCTGTGCATTCAGAGACAGGAGAAAAAATATATAAGCTTAATCAATAATTGACCAAGATTAGCAAATATCAGGTCTGATCAGGGGGTGATCGCGGATGAAAGTGAAGAGCGCAGGGCTGGGGGGGCTTGATCGTGGATGAAAGTGAAGAGCGGGGGGGAACGTAATTTCAAATTGTAGAGGGTTGTGGTTTACGCAGGCCCTTGAAAATGTCTCTGGAATCATCCTAACTCCTCCCCCCTAAAATCGCCCCTGGTTGTTTAATCAAACTACTTCAAGAGTTCACACCTGAATATGCTTGTCGTTAATAGCAGGTTTGGAGTGCTGTCCCAACCCTGAACTTGGGGATAATTGAGCCCAAGGCTCCCACCTGGTCAATTAGCATATAAAGGGGGTCGAGATTAGGTAGCTCCAGAAAAGAAAAAAAAAAAAAAAGAGGAGCTGGGGTGGAAGGGGGGATTCTTCCAAAAACAAAGATAGGACAGTAGGGTGAAATCTGTCTATTTAGAGTAAACTTGGATCAATCTGATTGGATAATTGCTGATTACGGATCAGAAGCCACCCGTGACCAACCATTTCACATGCTTCTCTTGAAATTAGTTTATAAAACTCAACTTAAAACAAGCTGAAACAGCACAATTCCTAATTTTTTTTGGGGGGGTGAAACTTAATTGTTTTATATTTAATCAACTTATATTTGTAAAAACAAGCGAGTTAACTTAATTCCCTTAGGCTGGAAGGATTGTACAAATCCATGTCTTTAGAACCACAAAACTACTAAAATCATCAAGAATCAGTAACACACTTATCTGCCAAGATTTCATTCATTTAAACTCGAGACATAATATAAATAATCATCTTAAAATTAGGTTCAATTTGTACTCACAGGGTTTAAATACCAGAAAAATCATCAAAAAAAAAGTGAAGATGAATTCAGAGGAAAAGACGACGACTCTCAGATCTCCAACTGCACCTTCACCATTAACTGAAGAGGAAAATGAACAATAGTATTTTATTTACAATAGACACTTGTGTCTCAATATGAAAACCAATAAGTGCAGCTGATCCAAAGGTGGTGGAGGACGACAAACAAGGGAATGGGTGAAAATCAAACTGAGAACAAAGAAAACACGGAATTAAACACAAAACATACTGGAGACAGGATCATGTTCACTCGCCTGTTTTCAGTACGAGTTCAGTCATCAGAGTAACAGAGTTCAGCAAAACAACAACAACTGATCCAAACACATACACAGGAGCAGCAGGATGAAGATCTAGAAGAACAAAAGTAAGGGTAAAGTCCAAATCAGAAAGGTGCAGTAGAAAAATACATTTTCACTAAACATTTATTGATTTAGCAATGTTTTTTTCCACAACAACTTACAAGTAAGGATAAAAAATGCACTTCAAATCATCAGATATATAAATGATATGACAAAATTAGTTTGTAAAATTACTATTATTTTTCTTGTTTTGTTGGTGTTGTATATAGTAATATACGGTTTTATGCAAAAGTTTGTGCACCCTTCTGTGGCTGCATAGTTATGTGCTCTTTCTTGCTAAGAGAAGATCGCAGTAAAATGTCATTCAGTTTCTAGAGAAAGCTAGATGATGTCATGTTTTACACTAAAAAATATATGCAGGCGTGGCGGAGTGGCGTAACGATTAGCACAATCGCCTCACAGCAAGAAGGTCGTTGGTTCGAGCCTCGGCTGGGTCAGTTGGCATTTCTGTGTAGAGTTTGCATGTTTCCCCCATGTTGGCGTGGGTTTCCTCCGGGTGCTCCGGATTCCCCCACATAGCAAAGGTATAGGTGAGTTGGGAAAGCTAAATTGTCTGTAGTCTGTGTGTGTGAATGAGTGTAGGGATGTTTCCCAGTGATGGGTTGCAGCTGGAAGGGCATCTGCTGCATAAAAAAATTGCTGGATAAGTTGGCTGTTCATTCCACTGTGGTGACCCCAGATTAATAAAAGGGCTAAGCCGAAAAGAAAAAGTATGAACAAATGAATGAATGAATGAAATAGGTTACGCAACAGTTTGAGCACCCTCTCTTTTGTGTGGATTTCAAAGCCTGTAGTCACTTAATGCTGATTGATTACAACACAAAATTAATTTGAGTGACTCAGTGAACCTTAACAATTCTAACACAGGTGCAACAATCATGAAAAAGGATATTTAAGATAGCTGACTGTTGTGCTTCTCCTCATTGTGAACCAGAAAGTAGCAACATGGGAACCTCAAAAGAACTTCCTAATGACTTAAAACTAGGATAATTCACCAACATGAATTAGGAGACGGATGTAAAAAGCTGTCACAAAGGTTAAAAGTCTCTATCTTCACAGTCAGACATATAGTAAGAAAATGGAAGGCCACATGAACAGCTCTTGTAAAAGAAAGATTTGCTAGGCCTAGAAAAATATCTGGAAGGCAAAGGTGAAGAATGGTCAGAATGGTCACAGACAAACTACAGACCACCTCCAAAGAGCTCCAGCAACATCTTGATGCTGGAAATATCACTGTACATTGTTTCACAGTACCAGCACTCTCCTTACCAAGAACAGCTCAATTGAAGGGTAATGCAGAAAAAGCCTTGGTTTTATAAGTATGCAATTATGAAAATGATCATGGTGCCCAAACTGTTGCATAAAACTGCACCTGTACATAAACTTGTCAGTTTGCATATTTTTATTCTCTATTTACTTTATTTTATCTGTGATTTGTCTTGTTACTGTATTGTTGCACTGTGGAAACTTCTGTCACGAAAGCAAATTGCTGATATGTAAACCTACCTGGCAATAGAGCTCTTTCTGATTCTGATTTTACAAATGAACTACCTGACGGATGATATTTGTGCACAAACACAAATATACAGTATACCCTTTCCCACAACAGATCCATTTGATCATAAGCATGCAGGAGCAGAGCAGGATTTGATGCAATATCACAATTAGTTTTAAAGGGATAGTGCACTCAAAAATGTGTCATCATTTATGCATCACTGAATCATTTCAAACCTTTATTTATTCTGTTGAACACAAAAGAAGATATTTTGAAAAATGTTGGCAACCATTGACTTCCATAGTATTTGTTTTTGCTACAATGAAAGTCAATGGTTACAGGTTTTTAACTTTCTTCAAAATATCTTCTTTTATGTTCAACAGAACAAAGAAACTCTTAAATGTTTGGAACTACTTGAGGGAGAGTACATGTATATTGTGAGTAAATATAAATTTTGGGGTGAACTATCCCTTTAAAAAGAAAAAGACTCAAATAAACTTGTTCCATAGGAGAAAAACTAAAAGGTTTGAAAAGGAAAAGAAAGTGCTGAGTAGAAAACAGCATAGTAGAAAAATAAAAGCAGAAGATTAATACTGTACCACATTCAAATGAGATTGTGAAGTCCCTTGTGGCCCAGATTAACTGAAAATACATAATCATGCAGGCCCATCCAACACAATCTGAACACAAACAGATACAACATCACTCAACTTTTATAGATAAATACTGTACACATTTATTTTTGTAACTTTTCGCTTGAATGTAAAAGGTGCTCAGCATAATTGAGTACAGCCCATTTTCAAAATTAATAATTCATTTTCTCTATTTCTCAGTGAATATAAATCTATCTGTCATGTTTACCAGTGAACAAACCACCAGATGTCGCTGGTAAACACTCTCTCATGAAACTGCAAATCTGCCAGTTAATGGACTTCAACTTCATACATGCTCTTCACCCACACACCTGCTTTCTCATTTAGCTTGATTTACATTCACACCTGAGGACTTTCAGAGACTGATTAACACACACTATTTAAGCCATTCATTCAACTCCTTCAGTTTGCCGAGTCTTGTTTATCTGTAAGGTGACATTACAACGCGTTATCCTGGTCTTGGTTTCCTGTGTTTTGATCTTTGCCTTGTTTACTTATTTAATGCTGTTTGCTGCCTGCCTCTGACCAATTGCCTGTTGTTTTGACCTTGACTCTGGATTGCCCTCATACATCTGTTTGCCGGTATTGACCACTGCTTGCCTGACAATTCTAATAAACCTGCACGTGGATCCAAACTTCTGTTGTTGGTGTCACTCCCCGTCATTACACTATCACACAAATCTATATTAACACTTCTCCCAATTCATTGGCATCAACGTCATCGCTTAATGCCTGCTTAACTGAAATTAAAGCTTGGATGCAATATAATCATCTTAAACTGAATAGTTCAAAGATTTTAGAGATTTTATTGGTTGGCACTCTTTCTAACATCAAGAGGTGAAGTGAGTTTGAGTTAAGGTTGAGAATTGTCTTTTCAACATCTCCAGAGGTGCGTAATCTCGGTGTTCTCCTGGACTCCCAGCTTAGTCTGAAGCCTCATTTTAAGCATGTAACTGAAATGGCCTTTTATCATCTTTGGAATATAGGTCGCTTACGTCCTTTCCTCTTGAGGCCTGATGCTGAAAGTGTCCATGCTTTTATCGCGTAACGCTTGGATTTTTGCAATTCTCTGTTCGGAGGGTTAACAGCAAATTCTCTCAAGATATTACAATACATTCAAAATTCTGCTGCAGGTGTGTTGACGCATACATCGTATTGGCCTCACATCACTCCTATACTCCAACAGCTTCTCTGGCTGCCCGTCAAGTCTCGTATTGATTTTAAGACACTGATTTTAACATATAAAGCGGTTCATAGTTCTGCTCCAGCCAGGTTACATTTGTGACCTGATATCCATTTCCTCTACATCTCGCTGTCTATGCTCTGCCTCGGGTACTACGCTGTTTCAGCATCGCTGCAAACTTAGCACCATGGGAGGTAGGGCCTTCTCTTTCCGTGCCCTCAAACTGTGGAATGCTTCTCCCACTAACATTAGGAATGCTGGTTCACTGGACGGTTTTAAAAAGTTAATTAAAACACATCTTTTCAGGAATGTTTTTAATTTGTGAAATCTTTTTTTACTTTATTTTTTGTGTGTGTGTGTGTGTGTGTGTGAGAGAGTTTTAATGTTCTTTGTTGTTTTTACTTTCTTGTAAACGCTTTGGGTTTTAGAAAAGTGCTTCATAAATAAAATATATTATTATTATTATTATTATTACTATTATTATTGTATTGACAATGTATTTTGGTGCATTTAAACAAAACGGATTTCTTAAACAGATATATTTTTTAAAAATAATATTTTAGGCACCAAACATATTGAGAAATTGACAGATAATACAATTAAATTCAAGCAATATATTGTAAAAAATAATACAAACTACAAAAGTTCAAGTAAATTGTATTTAATATTTTTCTATAACATAAATTTGGGTGTACTATATTTTGGTTCGTTATCATTATCGCACCGTTAGTTAGATAAGCTCCAGATTTGGCTTCAGTACGGACTAATCTAATGTATATGCACAAATATAATATTGTAGAGCTTCTAATTAAAAATATGCATTTAAAAGAGAGATTTGTGAGGGGTGCACTTATATATGCTGAGCACTGAATATGTTATGAGATGCTTCATTGACTCATTTAATAAAATTGCGTTGTCATACCTTTTTCATTTTCCAGTGCTATTATGTAGAAGTGGACCATAATGGCATTAATAAATAATGTGAGAATAAACCACACTGATCTCCTGACCAAGGGTAAACCTGAAAAACAAGCTTAATATTAGCAGCAGTCTTCCATATTTTGTGCTTCATGTTTTTTTTTTTTCATTTATTTATGCTTTTGAATTGCATTATGGGACCTTGATCTTCCTTCCCACAACTTTTAACCTTAAAAAGTTTAAAAAGTGACATTTCGCCACCTTAGAATTAAAAGGTTCTCTCTGACATTTTTGTCAAAATTTAGTTATAACTTATTTACTTTTAACTTATTTACATTATGGCATGTTTTTTTTACAAGTTGTTTTTTATTTAAAATGAAAAAATGTTACACACACATTGTTTATTATGGAATGCAAAAATAAAGTTAAAATTTTAACATCAAAACCTGATAAAGCAAAAATCAACATCCCATAATGCAATTCACAACCAGAAATAAACAGAAAACACTTGTGAATCACAAAATATGCAAACTGTTAATTAACAGACATTTTTTGTCACCGTATAGTGCATATCTGGGTTTAAAATCAAATGTAAAATAATAATAATAATAATAACCAGTGTTAGGGAGGTTAATTTAGAAATGTAATAGATTACAGATTACAAATTACACTATTTAAAATAAAATTAGTAGTGTACCTTTGCATTTTTTTAATAAAAGTAAAGTAACTGATTACATCTGGTTACTTTCTGATTACTTTTAAGTTTCTAATGGGTATTTTCAACTAAATCATGTTCAAGCATTTATACCAAGCAGGTGTGACCTTACAGTAGCTCTGTTTACTGTTAGACTCTCAACATCTTTCATCACTTGAATTAGGATTATCCTCTTAAGGCCCAATGTGTTTTTACATGCATTTTTTATTTCTCTTTGCTATTTGGGCTTTATGGAACCTAATTAAAATAGAAATCTAAGTATCATCTTTTGATATGATGTACTTTTATAGAAAAATTATGTCCATATATGTGGACTCGTGGTCTGAATTTACATACAACACTTTTTCCCGTTTTTTTTTTTTTTTTTTAACTTGCTTTGACTATCAGAGAGTAAAAACAACATTATTTTCCCATTTTGGACAGTTAAAAATAGGGTTTGAAACGTTTCCTATGCAAAACTGTATGTCTGTAACAAAATATTAAAAATTCCAAACTATATAACAGTATATAAATAGATAGTATACATACATAAATAGTACGTACATAATGCATTTAAAATACTATAGTAATTTATAGTAAAGGGAAATATTTAGGAATGAGCATTATATTGTATATATATTTACAACTCTTCATTAATAAATTCCACAACATAATGTAGTATCATTAGTAACTATCATGAACTAATAGTAATTAGCTTAGTGTACTTTAGCCTTTACTAAAGTAAACTGTATATATAGCAGATTTGTAATCATTAACACTTTCATAAATAACTGTAATTTAATTACACATTTTTTTCTCAGTGACTGTAACAAATGAATTTTAATTTTATTTTGTAATTAAATTACATAACGCTGTTACATGTAACTAGTTACTCCCCAGCACTGATGATCAATGTACAATTCTACAAAAACTGATCTTAGATTATCATATGAAATCACTGACAAACACTTTAACAACTGCATTCAAGTTCTTCATAACAGATACAGAAACGTGAGCAATATGTTAATCATAATAATCATGATGTGTGCTGATAAATCAAACACTTACAGCCCATCTGTTCTCCACATGTAAAATCCCAGTTGTATTTTTGCACTGTGAGGAAAACTGGTAAAACTACAACAACGAAGGCTGAAAATGAAAGTGATTATACAGAATCAGAGCTTTCTTGACAAACACAATTACAGGTTTATCTACAAATGAGCATCATTTTTATAAATATACACAAACACATGCACACAGAACAAACAGCGTCAGGGGGGATGTGTGCCAGTCACTGATTCCAGCAGGGGTTTTCAAATGTCTGCCACATTCTGACTATGTATTAGGCACTGTGTTTGTCAAAGTCATCTGTGATAAATGTAGGGACTAATCTGACTCCCCTGACTGGCGGGTCATGCAGCGCCTGTAGTTAAACTGTCAAACTCACACTGGTTTATTACAAACCTTTTATCAATAACCTTTCCTGCAATTAACTGCAAGACCGAACATAGAAACATCTGATTGACAAGCAGCATCTACAGTACAGTACAGGCTCATTCTGAAAATGTAGTCCTATATACATTTCTGGAGAGCCCCGAATACGTCCCAGGAGCTACGTTTTTTTGCAGATTTTGTTTTCATGAATCCACCAGAGGCTGCTGTTTACGCTTTTTGAAGTCTCAAATTTCTCTTGCGAGTGACATTCATGCCTGCTGTTCTCACGTAAATCCACCAGAGGCCGCTGATGACTCCTGACTGACAGATCGACTGACCCACCCTCCTCCTTCCCTAAACCAAACTGATAGCTTTTTAAAAGCACCAATCGACCCGCCCACCCACTTCCCTAAACCAATCTGACAGTGTTTTTAAAAGCAATCCAGAAAAAGAAAAGCCCTCGCCTGATTTTTACCATGTTTTCAGATTTTACCACATTCTCACCCTGTTATTTAGTTGTTTATTGAATTTTTTGGCTTTTGTTTTGGTCTCACCTTCTTTCTGGAACCGTCCTTCACCAGACTCAAACCCCATTGTCGCAGTCAACTCCACTATACGTCTCAAGTCTGCAGACGTACGTGGCGAGCCACTGGACAAACTTGTATCAGCGGAAAAGCTGTCCATACAAAGGTAAATTGTCACCTGGTAGGTGCGAAAAGGAACGGCATCATACCGCCTTGTACGTTCGTTTTAAAGATGAAATGCCGCCATACGTAGCTCTGGCTACAAAATTCAAGCTCTTCAGAAATGTATACTGGGGTACATTTTCACAATGAGCCTGTGTTAAATTTTTCAGCATTTTTTAAGTAAAGCATACTAACTGTATTTTGTGTTTAGCTTGCATGGTGGCTCTGAACTGTTAAAACACCTATAAAAAACAGATTAATTTTTTTTTGTTTATAATGGAGGCAGAGTGCCAATACGACTGACACGACGTTAGGTCGAATTTATATTTAACATGTGAAAATTATGGACGAAAAATTCTAATTCAGTGTGCAATAACCTTTACTCATAAAAAAAATCCATCCATAACGTATATCTACCTGCTCTTGCAGATCCAAAGGCGAAGAACAGGAGGATGAACTGTAGTGAAGGCAGAACATCAAAGCTGATACGAGCCAGAACACTGAATATTGTCTTGATCCTCTGGCTTAATTTCTCAATGACTCTCACCATCACTGTACAAAAAGAGGAAAATACAAATCTAAATATTGATATTGAAAACATTTAAACTTTATAAACTTTAAAAACAGAGCTAAACTAAATTCATTCATTTGGTATTTTAATTTGAATTCACACAATTGTTCAATATTGGAAATGTTAAGCACCACTTTTAACTACATTGAAGCTCTTTACTTGTATAACGTGCATGCAAACTTTATAAATACTGTATCATTGTGAAAATGCTATGATCTGAAATTACACTCATCGGCCACTTTATTAGGTACACCTTACTAGTACCAGTTGGGACCCCCTTTTGCCTTCAGAACTACCTTAATCTTTGTGGCAAAGATTCAACAAGGTACTGGAAATATTCCTCAGTGATTTTTCTCCATAGTGACATGATAGCATCACCCAGTTGCAGCAGATTTGTCGGCTGCACATCTATGACGCGAATCTCCCGTTCCAACACATCCTAAAGGAGCTCTATTGGTTAGTGATCTGGTGACTGTGGATGTCATATAGTGAACTCATTTATGACATGGCACATTATCCTGTTAGAAGTAGCCATCAGAAGATGGGTCCACTGTGGTCATAAAGGGATGGACATAGTCGGAAACAATATTCAGGTAGGCTGTGGTGTTGACACGATGTTTAATTGGTATTAATAGGCCCAAAGTGTGACAAGAAAATATTCCTCACACCATTACACCACCACCACCAGCCTAAACCATTGATACAAGGCAGTATGGATCCATGCTTTCATGGTGTTGATGCCAAATTCTGACCCTATCTGGATGTTGCAGCCAAAATCGAGACTCATCAGACCAGGCAACATTTCTCCAATCTTCTATTGTCTAATTTTGGTGAGTCTGTGTGAATTGTAGCCTCAGTGTCCTGTTCTGTGCTGACAGGAGTGGCAGCCAGCGTGGTTTTCTGCTGCTGTAGCTCATCTGCCTCAAGGTTGGACCTATTGTGCATTCAGAGATGCTCGTCTGCATACCTCAGGTGTAACGAGTGGTTATTTAAGTTACTGAAATTTACGTTAACGAGCAGTTGAACAGGTGTACATAATTAAGTGGCCGGTGGGTGAGTTTTTGACCAGTCAGGGCTGATCAAACCAATGTGATTGCACTTGTCAAAGGGTAATGCACATATTTTTCTTTTGTTTTATTAATTATGTCCATGTAAAATATTCTGCATATTTTGTTTGAAATGATTGTTTTTAAAATGTTGGGCCTGTAACAAACACCATTAAACAGATAAATCATGAATTTGCAGCAAACTAATGACTAGTAATGCATTACATGAATTCAGATGAGAATACTCACAGAAACTAATATAGATGAGGTCTAGCAAAAGCACCATCACAAACAGGATTATTATCACCACACGTTCATATCCGGCGTAATTCAGACTTTTGTCCCAGGCGGTTTTAAACAGAACTGAAAGAAAGAAACAAACAATTATAGATTTAGAAAACCTTTTTTAGATTTAGAACATTTATTACTGTACTGTTACTTCGTTAGATTTGTAGCATAATATTCAACATTTCCTATTTTGTAAATATGTAAAGAAATGATTATAACTGCTGAGTGAAAAATGTATGTCTTTACCTGAATAAAAAACAGCTGAGAAAGCGACATATTCTGCTCTGAAACTGTAACTTTGAATAAATGATTTAGTGTTTCCTGTAAAACAGAAAATACGTTTTAATATGAAACACTTTTTAATGAAAAAAAAACAAAACAAAAAAAAAACATTGAGTTTAATGGAGCGTCCACACCAGATGTGACTTGTGCAAATAAATCGATCTAAATCAAAGGAAAATAGATGCGTGAACATTTTGAGTTTACTTAATTCATTTGTGTGTGAAATTCACAACAAACGTGGATTTGCATCATGGTCAGGGCATCTGTCTGCCCAGTGACTCTAGTTTCGTTGCTAAATGGCTAACATGGATTTTATTGACAGAGTAGCTGTGCTTTATGTGCTTTAGGAAGGCTGAAAAACAGCGTAGATTTGTTTGTTGCCGTGTCCGAGTCCACTCTATCCTTTTAGAGGTGAACCCAGCTCTGTGAGTTCATCAACTCCTCCAGAAATGGATAATGGAGGCTTTCAGCAGTGTTTCAGACTGAGCCAAGCCCAGTTTGATGCTGTTGTTCTGTGCGGGCAGGAGGATTTCCCCTCAGGACACCAACATCAGGCACTACATCATAATCACGCCTATACTAGAGCAAGCTCCTGAATGGTTAATGCAACACAAATGCCCACTAACGTTCAGATTTTCCAATTCGAGCGATTCGCATGGTAAACACATCAAACAGCCAATCAGCGCCACCCCATTCGCACAAATAGAACCGCAGGATGTCTAATCGCATCCTTACATTGACTTAACATATAAAAATTACTCCCGCTTGATGCTTCATCTGCATCTAGTGTAAACACACCATCAAAAAACCTTGGTGAGCACTGCAAATGCGAATGCGTGACTCAATATTGTGAAACCAATAGAAGATCAAAATTTGACCTCTCTGTACAGGAATTTAAAGGGGACCTACAAAAGAAGGCGGAGCTACAAAAACCTGTGTGTCAGCAGAGTGGGAGATTCAAAGCCATGACAAACATCCTATGCTAATGAGTGAGAGATCTTCACTAATGGGTGGGGCTTTCCCCTCTCTGATGACATGTATAATCTATATATAATATATATTTCATATATAAGTGTTCCTGTTATTATGAATCATGATTATAAAAAATAAAAATTGATTATTTTTTATTATCAGCAGCTGGTTATACTCAGACTTTTGCCACAAAAATGTTTAAACCCCTTGTGTTTTTTACACAATAGGTCCCCTTTAAAATATGGAGCAATGGCTCATTTCATCAGTGCCACATCATCTTATTTCATCCTGACCCTTTATATAGTGCCATCCAACAGTTTCCATTTTCAAAGTGTCAGCGTGTCAGTATCTGTTTCACCAGCCTTCACATTATTTATCATTATTTAAGTTGACCATTATTGTCTATGCTTTGCTTGTATTTGAGCCAGAATTTTGGTTCTTGTCTGGGTATCCCAATCTCAGTGATAAAAACAAAACACAACTGTTTGGAGATTATTATTGCATCTGTTTGCTCCATAAAAGTCTTATCGTGGATCCCAGTTGTAAAAGCAACAAATAATAACTTGACATCTAGTTGATCATTTGGCAAAGTGGCAGAAGGTCGATTTTTCTGACGAATCATCTGTTGAACTGCATCCCAATCATCACAAATACTGCAAAAGATCCATTGGACCCAAGATTCTCACAGATATCAGTCAAGTTTGGTGAAGGAAAAATCATGGTTTGGGGTTACATTCAGTATGGGGGTGTGTGAGAGATCTGCAGAGTGGATGACAACATCAACAGCCTGAGGTATTAAGACATTTGTGCTGCCCATTACATTACAAACCACAGGAGAGGGCAAATTCTTCAGCAGGATAGCGCTCCTTCTCATACTTCAGCCTCCACATCAAAGCTCCTGAAAGCAAAGAAGGTCAAGGTGCTCCAGGATTGGCCAGCCCAGTCACCAGAAATGAACCACATTGAACATGTCTGAGGTAAGATGGAGGAGGCATTGAAGATGAATCCAAAAGATCTTGATGATCTCAGGGAGTCCTGCAAGAATGCTTACTTTGCAATAACTCAAATCACTTATTAATAAAGTCATCTGGAATGGCAGATATGTATGGGTGCAGTTCTCCAAGCTCATGGAGTCATACACAAAATTCATTCTTTTCCTGCTGAACCATTTATATTCTATACCAGGGGTCACAAACCCTGTTCCTGGAGAGCTACCTTCCTGCAGAATTCAGTCCCAACCCTGATCAAACACACCTTAACCAATTAATAGTACCCAAAGCCGCACTTGATAATTACAAACAGGTGTGTTTGGTTAGGGTTGCAACTAAAATCTGCAGGAAGGTAGCTCTCCAGGAACAGGGTTGGTGACCCCTGTTCTATACTGTTCATTATTTCTGTTAAATGTCAAGACTTTTGCCTAAGCAAAGTCAGACCTTACTCTCCTAATGAAATAATTAAAAATCATGACATGATCATATTTTATTTTGGTAAAATAAGCGTAATCTAGAGGCATTTGCCTTTCATATAAGCCACTTCTGATACCAAATGATCAACTAGAAGTCAAGTTATTGTTTGTTTTTCGCAAAACTTGAAGGCGACAAGACTTTTGTCAGGTAGTGTATGTGTAAACAATCAACTTCTACAAACAATCAAAAATTGATCATACCAGTAAAGCTATTAGCATATGGAGCTGCCCAGAGTAACATGAGAGGCCTCAGGAAATAAAGAGCGCAACAAGAGACCGACTCAAACAGAGAGCCTGCAATGAAAATAGACATTAATAACCATTCTGTTTTGTGTTAATAAACAACTGTTTTACTGACATAAAATGATGTTTCCATAAAACACTCACCCTCTGAAAAACCCCAGCAGACAAAAGCAAGAAACATCAGAATATTTGGACAGAAGACAAGAAACATTTGAACACGAAAGATTGAGTCTGTGGAGAAAATAGCCAATAATTAATATGAGTTCAAATATGCTTTATAATCATCCGACATGATTGAGACTTCTTCATGAGAAGCATCATCATGGCGCATCACACATTTTGTTTCTAATTTGCAACATACAGATATTATGGTGTGCACAAACTTACAGAAAAAAATGTGGTGTAACAAGGTGGGCTTCTCTTCTGGTGTGTGACCCCCTCCGAGTCTTTATAATAATAATAATAATAATAATAATAATAATAATAATAATAATAATAATAATTCCTTACATTTATATAGCGCTTTTCTGGGCACTCAAAGCGCTTTACACAATGGGGGGATCTCCTCATCCACCACCAGTGTGCAGCATCCACCTGGATGACGCGACGGCAGCCATTTTGCGCCAGACCGAACATCACACACCAGCTGATTGGTAGAGAGGAGACAGCGATGAAGCCAATTGAATATGGTGATGGTTAGGAGGCCATGATCAACAGAGGCCAGAGGGCAGATTTGGCCAGGATGCCGGGGTTAAACCCCTACTCTTTTCGAAGGACATCCTGGGATTTTTAACGACCATCCATTAAACATTTAACGTCTCATCCGAAAGACGGCACTCACTGAGCAGTATAGCGTCCCCGTCACTATACTGGGGCATTAGGACCCACACAGACCGCAGGTTGGGCGCCCCCTTCTGGCCTCACTAACACCACTTCCGGTAGCAACCTAGCTTTCCCATGTGGTCTCCCATCCAGGTAATGACCGGGCGCAGCCCTGCTTAGCTTCAGTGGGCGACCATGTGAGAGTTACAGAGAGCTAGCTGCCGGCGAGTCTTTAAAATTTCTATACAGGTTTGGATACATTTGTACCAGCTCTGCTACTCCACTCTTCAGTGTATTCATCTGGCTAGTTTTGTTGTTTTGGATATAGTTCTACTGTCTGAACACCGTGAAATAAGAAACGAATTTGAAGAAAGAATTGTCAAGGGCAGAGGTCTAAAATATACCCATTGATTGTGGAATCAGCACAGATCAATGGGAGCCAAAATGAACTCCCCTAAAAGTTTACTTTGTTGAGCTGTTTTAAACTGCCAAACCTGCCAAAGTCTAACTGTTACATTTATAATTACTCGAGCTTACTCACTTTTCTGTAGCAGACATAAAACTAAATAAAATCATCTCATTAAGTAAAGTTTCACAAACTAATTTCGAAGAGCACCTGATATGATTGACCGCAGCTGGTCTCTCATCTACAATCATTAGTTAGCCAATCAGATTAATCCAAACCTACCATAAGCAGCCCAGTTAAAAAAAATACTCCCTTACCTTTGTTTTCCAAAGAAACCCCCCATCCACCCCATCCCCCCCTTTCTTCCTTTCTCGAGAACTACCTGATCTCGTACTCCCCTTACATGCTCAATGACCAGGCAGGAGCCCTGGACTCAATTATCTCCGAGCTCAGAGTTCTCCCCTGGGACAGCATGACAAACCTGCTATTATTATCAAGCAATATCTAAGTGTGAACTCTTGAAATATATTTTAACATACCTAGTAGTCTTAGCATCAATCTTGTCTGGACTGTAAAAACACGCCTCTGGTCACTGTAAACTGTACATGTGTATCGTGCCTCATCTTCCTCTCTCAGTTTGTCCAGTTGAAGGAAGAAGTTTCCATGTTGAATCTCCTCGTCATGATTTTCCTGCTGCTGGGCCTCTGGTTGACTCTTGTTATCTTGATACAGATGAACCACCGTATCGTCTGCTCTTCTCCATTCCACCTTAAGACCCTTCACTGCCGAAGGATTCCTAATATAACAGGGTAAAACCACTGAAGATCCCAGAGGAGCAAGCGTTTGACGAGTACACTGAATGTCGAACCCTAAAAAAGACAATTATTCTGATGTGATATTCTTTTTTTGGTGGTTTTTATGTATATACTAAACAATAATAAAAATATATATTACCTCTATACCACATTCAAAACAATGTCTATTGACCAGGGTAATAATTTAATTAGTTAAATTTAGTTCAAATAACATTAAAAATAATTTTTGGGCAATATCATGCAATAGAACGTTTAATTTAAATTAAAGTATAACTAAATGTTTTATATATGCATTACTATACAAATGAAATGGCAAAGATAAAGCTGGTCTCTGTGTTAGTTGCAAAGACACAATCATGATAACAATATAATATAAAAACACATTTAAAAACATTCTGATTAGATCAAGAAAAAGATTTTTACTTACCCTCTACTACCTGTATACTGGCTGAAAATACACAGTTCTGAGCACTGTAAACTCTACATCTGTATTCTCCTTTATCTTTATCTCTGAGTTTGTCCAGACAGAGGGAGAAATTTCCATCTTGAATCTCCTCAGTAAAGAAATGAGCTCTACCATGATAATCCTGCTGCTGGGCCTCTGGTTGACTCTTACCACCTTGATAGAGATGAACCAGAGTCCCTGAGTCTGCTCTTCTCCATTCCACCTTCAGACTTCCCTTTGATAAGTCTTTGTCAGCATGACATGGCAAAACTATTGAATCTTTCAGAGAATCATAATGTTTACAAGTATACCACACAAGGAAACCTGAAAAAGAAAGAGATATTACATTTGTTATGTAAAAAAAAAATAATTAATTGATAATAATATGTGGAACAATGTTTAAAGAATTGGCATTTTCATGTTGCAAATAAATTGGTTATGGATGCGTCTCAATTCATGCATTATAAGTGACGACAATTTGAGAATGCCTCTGTGTGACTGTCAAGAAGCACATCTGAAATCAGCGCACTGGTGTGGCAGGACCGGATGACCCTTTGGGAATAAGAATGCTGACTTTACCGTGCTCACAAGTACCTATCTAGAGTGAAGTTATGGTCACAGATTAGACATCAGAATTAAAGAAGTATGAAGGGCTGTAAAACAGAAGGTTGGGCCACATTAGTGGAGATCTTGGTGATTTACACTCTTGTTGGAAAAAAAAAACCCCTTCTCCATTTGAGGTGTAAGGACCAGATCAAAGGGAGTCATCGCAATTCTTATAGGTTGTCTCTTAAGAAATTTTTTTTCCTGTAGAAAGACAGCAGTTCCAGCCTCAGAGTGCTTCAAGAATCATTTAATAAGTGGTTTTCATCCAATCCTACTGGGACTGGATGCATGAATGAGAACCAGATGGACAAAGGGTTATCTCTCTAGAAGCAAACTAATCTACTTCTGCCTGGTTGAAAATTTATAAAAGGAGCTGTATCACCTTCAATCTCCATTCCCTGGGACTTAGCTCCTGCCTTGACAGGTTGTCCACTCCCTGGTTAAGATGCACAGGAATCTAATTTGCACGAACAAAGAACAGCTGTCCTTGGCCCCACAGAAGAATTTACATTGCCAGTATGGAGGGGGTGGCTCCTGGCAGATTTGCAGCATATATCTCCATGAATCTCCAATGGGTTGCTCTTCATGGTAAATCACTTGGGCATGAGCTTGAGCTAACCCTGAGATCCTGAAGATAATGTTTAAATGCTAGAAGCACCTATTGGACACGAATAGCATCAGACCTGGTTAAGGAGCAATGAACTGGCCTATCTTCACGCTGTTCATAACTGAGAAGACTGACTTAGCATATGGGAGGCATCAGAAATGTATGGATAAATCCTTTTCATTACAGGACAAGTATGCACCCTAGAGATGAACTGTGACTAAACACTTCTCAGACCTGACTAAAGCATGATTCAACTAATTTCCTTCCGACTGCAACCCATCACTGGGAAACTCCCATACAGTCTTATTCACACACATACACTATGGACAATTTAGCTTACCCAATTCACCTATAGCATGTCCTTGGACTGGTGGGGGACACTGCAGTACCCAGAGGAAGCCCATGCGAACACTGGGAGAACATGCAAACTCCACACAGAATTGCCAACTGACCCAATCAAGGCTTGAATCAGCGACTTTCTTGCTCTTAGGCGACAGCACTACTCACTGTGCCACCCCATCGTATACTGTAAATCAGGGATCACCAAACTGGTTTCTGGAAATCCGGTGTCTTGCAGATTTTAGCTCCAACCCTAATCAAACACACCTGAACAAGCTAATCAAGGTATTCTTAATACACCCAGGCAGGTGTGTTGAGGCAAGTTGGAGCTAAACCCTGCAGGGCACCGGACCTCCAGGAATGAGATTAGTGACCCCTGCTTTAAATCTTAAAATCTTATTGACTACCTACAAAGTCCTGAATGGCTTTGCTTCCTAGTACTCAAGGGAGCTCCTGGTGTATTATAGTGCCTCACATCACAATTGATTATTCCTAGGATAACAAAATCGACTGTAGGCAGTAAATCATTCTTATATCTAAACTCTGGAACACTGTCTTCCTAGCACAGTTCAGGAGGCAGATACACTCTGTCAGTCAAAAACATCAAAGACACATCTCTTTGCATTAGCACACACATAAAACACAAATGCATAACTTTTAAAATCCAGATAAGTTTAAGTTTAACTGTAAGTGAAGCTTATTTATAAACTAATTTTTAAAGGATCACGTGCTTATGATTGAACACGGCTGGTCTTGCATAAGCTATGTATAATCCACCAATCAGACGATTCCTAACCTACTATAAAGAGCCAGGGTTTCTTACTAGTCATCTTCAATTTGAAGAATCCCCCCTTCCGCCCCTACTTCCCCACCTTTCATAGGGCGGCACGGCGGCCTAGTGGTTGGCGCTGTTGCCTCACAGCAAGAACGTCAATGGTTCTAGTCCTTTATCAGGACAGCTTTCGTTACTGTGCAATCATTTTAGTCATCAGCTCTTATCCTGGGGGAGTTGTCGAGATTTACCTGAGCTCAAAGCTACTTTCTCACCCTGCAAATGATAGGGATCCCAGGGCTCAAGGACCTTTTGGGCTCAGGGCTCTCTCTTGGGACAGCATGTTAAACTTGCTTATTATCAATCATCAGCTAGGTGTGAACTCTTGAAAATATTGTTAGGCTGCATTAATTAGGGCAACCAGGGCCAGAAAAATGGTGGTGAAATTATAGAAGTTTTCTGGGAGAAATAACAAAATGGGAGGGTGGTAGGAGATGGGTCTGAAATACGGGAGACTCCTGGGAAAAACGGGTGTGTTAGCAAGTATGGGCTAGCCTGAACACCCATCAGTGACCTACTCAGACCTGCAGCTTCTCCATGACAGATGTCCAGCGTTCTCAAGCCTCTGGCAAATCACCATCTAAATTTTTTTGCAAATTACATTCAACAACAAAAACAACAAAAAAAAAGGTCAAACTAGCAATGTATTGCCAAGTAGCACTTTGCTGCTCAATGCACCTCACCCAATGAACCCAAGCATGGCTGACCATGTGGTCCGTGTGGGTCCTAGTGCACCAGAATTGCGGATGTACATTATAAAGACAGTTCAAGATGGGTAAACCAATTCCTTTAATGAAATCCATGCATAATCATCCATTGACAACATGACTGACATGGCTAGCATGTTGTAAAAATTGAACCAAGGCAAAAACTTAAATTATTACAATCAAATAGACCAAACACTGACAGTTGCACATGCCATTGACCTTTATCAGGTGATCTGCTGTAGATCCAGACACAGGGCAGAAGCGCAGATCCACATGCAGAAATACAGAGTATCAACACCATTGTATGCAAAGCAGAGAAACCTGAGAGTCAGAAAGAGTTATGAAACAGTAAGATGCAGTATGTAATTCCTTATATTATTATTATTAGTGTTAGGAATGCATGAGTTTAATAATGCATGCACTGTGAGCAGTTGCAGTTTTAATCATAACTCACTCAGTCTTCCCAGCACTACAGTCGCATTGGCTGATAAATCTCCAGCAAACACTTGACACATGTAAACTCCTTTGTCCTCAGTTCTGACGCTCTTCAGTTTGAGAGAGAAGTTTCCTTTGGGGATTTCAGCAGTAAAGAACTCAACTCTGCCTCTGAATTGTTCATCTCCCACCTCTGGCACAGTCTTATTGTTTTGGTAAAGCAGGATCAGAATATCTCCATCTTTATCAGTTTTCCTCCACAATACCTCTTCAATATGTTCAGGTGTGATGTGAGAGTCTACAGAGCAGTTCAGAGTCACGTCCTCACCAACATGTATAGAAACAGATCGATTTGTTCCTGATACCAGCAAACGCTCTATGAAAACAAAGAAGAAGGGTCTGGCTGCAGATCAACTACGCATGCTCTCATGCTGCATTCACACCAGACGCGGAAGAAGCGGGTGCACAGAGCTGGGCGCACCTCTAAAAGGATCTAGTGGACTCCAAACAAAATCAACACTGTTTTTCAGCTTTCATAAAAGCACATAATCACAGCTATTCTCTCAATAAAATCCCTGTTAGCCATTTAGCAATGAAGCTAGAGTCACTGGGCAGACAGAATCCCTGCCCATCATGCGAATCCGCGTATGTTGTGAAGTGAATTTTATGCAAGAATGAAGCGAGTAGACTTAAAATGTTCAGGTGTCAATTTATGCGTGAATAGCTCACTTTATCCACGCTTTCCACATTTGGTGTGAACACAGCATCAGACCCGATTGGCTTTTAAAGGCTACACCTCTAATCCTACCCCTACCACCGCTCATAATGATGTCTCTTGCTCTATTGAGTGCATGGTGCCTGAGAGTGCATGTGCAGGTCTGCAGCCAGACAGTTGACATAACACCCACTTTGAATGCTATCAGTCGATTGAATAGGCATTATCAGTGATTATCACCTGATAGATATGGGCCGGTAAGGGCAGATGGTATTAAAATTCAATAAATGGGAAATGTAATAAATAATATAAATAATCAACATAGGCTCATTCTGCATGACGGTTTGCACACTTACCTCCACAAGAATGACTTTTCTGCTGTTACCAATTTCTTTAGTGGCTCACCGTGTACATCAGCAGAATTGTGACGTGGTGAAAAGTGGACGATGACAGGGTTTGAGTCTGGCGTAGAACAGTTTCGGAAAGCAGGCAAGGCAAAAACTAATTAAGGAAATAACTTGCTTTTGATTGTTTTTTTTAACTGACGGTTGGGTTAAGGGAAGGAGAAGGGCAGGTCAATCGGTGCTTTTGAACAAAAACTGACGTGTTGGTTGAGGGAAGAAGGAGGGCGGGTCAATCAATGCTTAAGAACAAAAACTGAGGGTTTGATTTAGGGAAGGAGGAGGGCAGGTCAATCCGTGCTTTTGAAAAAAAACTTACGGTTTGGCAAGGAGGAGGGCGGCTCATTCGGTGCTTGTGAAAAAAACTGACGGTTGGGTTTAGGGAAGGAGGAGGACGGGTCAATCGGTGCTTCTGAAAAAAAAAACTGACGGTTAGGTTTAGGGAAGGAGGAGGACGGGTCAATCGGTGCTTCTAAAAAAAAACAAAACTGATGGTTGGGTTTAGGGAAGGAGGAGGACGGGTCAATCGGTGCTTCTAAAAAAAAAACTGACGGTTGGGTTTAGGGAAGGAGGAGGACGGGTCAATCGGTGCTTCTAAAAAAAAAACTGACGGTTGGGTTTAGGGAAGGAGGAGGACGGGTCAATCGGTGCTTCTAAAAAAAAAAAACTGACGGTTGGGTTTAGGGAAGGAGGAAGACGAGTCAATCGGTGCTTCTAAAAAAAAAAAAAAAACTGATGGTTGGGTTTAGGAAGGAGGAGGACGGGTCAATCGGTGCTTCTAAAAAAAAACAAAACTGATGGTTGGGTTTAGGGAAAGAGGAGGGTCGGTCAATCGGAGTGGCCTCTAGTGGATTTCTGCGAGATATTATAAATTTGATACCTCATATAGCTGATTAACCATGTTGAGTAACTCACAGGCCCATATCTATCAGCTGATAACCATTGATAACGGCCATTTAATCAAGTGATAACATTCGAATTTGCTGGACATAAAGGGTTAAAATATCATAACAAAAAATTGTGAATGCCATTTTTTTTTTACTTTAAGTTACTCTCACTCACCAACATCTTTTATCTTGATCACAGTTTCTTCAGAATCCTGCTGACTGTGAACTCTACACCTGTATTCTCCTTCATCTTGAGCTGTCAGATTGTCCAGACGGAGGGAGAAGTTTCCATGTTGAATCTCCTCAGTAAAGAAATGAGCTCTATCATGATAATCCTGCTGCTGGACCTCTGCTCGACTCTCACCATCTTGATACAGATGAACCAGAGTCTCTGAGTCTGCTCTTCTCCATTCCACCTCCAGATCCTCCACTGGTAAAGCTTCATCAACATAACAGGGCAAAACCACTGAAGCTCCCAGAGGAGCAGACAGAGGAGCAGAGGGACCACGAACAACTAACCCTGTAATAAAAAAGCCAGTAAAACAAAAACGAAACTATAGTGAAAAAATGGTCTTTCAGGATGATCATCATGATGGGTGAACGTTTTCTTGCTACACCTGTGGCCTGTTTCACAAACTAGTTGAAGAGTTTATAAATAAATAAATAAATAAATAAATAAATAAATAAATAAACAAATAAATATTATCGGTTTCACAACTCCAAACATTGTCAGCCAACTCAGGGTTTTGAATCACTTTTAAAGTTAAAGTTTGACAAAGCAGCTGATAAAAAAAACATTTGGTCATATCAACAGAAATCAACTGAGTTAAAAAAAAAAATCTGTCATTTTTTAATTCATAAATATAATAAAGTACATAAATGCATTGGATTAATGATAAATTAAATGTGAAGTGTAATATTGGTGGTGCATTTAAGAATTATGCACATTATATGTACCCAACATTATACTTCTGGCAAATTCTGAATTAAAGTTTTTGATCTAAGATAAATAAATGATAATTATATATTGCGCTCACAATGATACCTCTTGTGCATTGTCTAATTATCTTTTAAGAGAAGCTGATGTAATTTCCAGTCAAAAAGGCTTGCTGGTTGAATACAAGTAACTTTAAGTCAGAATTTGCCAGGGATATGAAAAATTTCAGCCTCAACAATTTTGTCTTTAAAAAGACTCTTTCACTGTGAACAAGTAATTTCTGAAACTGCAATGTCAGAAGGCATACCCCATGTCAAACTCAAGGATGGCATGAACAAAAAAACACAAACATCGAACTAAAGTAAGTCTTAATTTTCACCATAAACACAACACAGACGATAACCAGAGAGTTATAATAAATTTCTTATATATAAATATAAGAAATAACATTTGCTGCAGCAAACAAAAAAACAATAATAGACTTTTATTTTACTTTATATTTAGGAGCAGGTGATGCCACAATTATTATTATAATAAGATCTGTTCGCTTTGGTAAAAAAAAAAAAAAAACACTAATAAATAATTACAAAAAGAGAGTAATTTAATTAACTATTTGTTTATTCTCTGACTAATTATGTATGAAATCATTTATCATCCGCGATCATCGAAATTACTGACATCAAATGATTCTGTTGTCTGATCTTCAGATAAGCGAACTTAAACAAAAACGAGCATGTCTACATTACTGGAGATATCGCTGCTGACAGACAGAGCTGCTCGTGCGTTGCGACAAAATGAAAACTTGCACTGTAAACGATTTCTGTTGTTTTCACAGTATTATACTGCATTTCTCAACAGTTTTTTACTGTATAAGCTGTGCACAGTGTGTTACTGTATATATTGTTGTTTTCACAGTATAATAATGTATTTTCAACTTTTCTATACTGTGAACATGGTTAACAGTATGTTACTGTAGATTTTACAATGCATTTTGGGGAAAAATCAGTTACTGTGCATCTAAATACAGTACTGCAAATGACCAAGAACAACTCCACACACACTATATATTATGATTATTATGTTTACTTATTTTTAGACAAATTATTTTGTGAAGTAAATAACCTAACCAGTTTCTTCAGACTGTTCAGTGCATTAAACTGTCCCCTGGTTTTCCATTTTTGGGTGCACTGCACCTTCATTTTATAAGGTAACATGGAAATATGAAATAATATTTAATAAACATAACTTTGTGCTAAACCAAAACGTAAATTGGAACAAAAATAATTGATTCACGTAACCAAGGGCTGTTAAACACAAAATGATTTCAAAGTCAGCTTAAATGTCAGAGTGACCAACCTGCTTTAGACGGATTCAAGAATAATGGGCACCCATATGGGCCACCGTAGAGGGCACATATCTCCGCATTTTCAAAACAACATTTTAAAATACGCACTATCTTAATAAATAAACCACAGAATTGAGTTTAAAACAACAACATTCTCGCATGAAAAGCGGTTAAAACTTTATTTCATAACACATTTATTATCTAGTCATCAAAGACAGGGGCATGTCTCAATAATGTCTAGGCCGATTAAAGCATGAGGTTTGCCGGATACATGAGTGATGGATCGCCGTCAACCCCTGGAGGTCAGAATCTCCCCTATCGGCAAAGCACACTTAAAAGTAGTCATGATATCTATAAACAAACCACAGATTTGAGTTTGGAATAACTATATTCTAGCATGAAAACCCGTTAAAACTTCATTTCGTGACATATTAAACGCAATATTTATGATATGATCTGGCTTTTCTCATTCGCCATTATATTTGCTTGTTGGTGTGAAATGAACTCTGGGAGAAAAAAATATTAATTCTCAAAACACTTCAAGCGAACCTTATTCGTATTGTTAAAGTCAGATACATGTAATATTTTCGCTGGTAAAGTGAAAAAAACAACAACAATATTACTATTTTATCAATATCACGTTTGCACTGGTTCGGTTCAGCACTCAAACGAGACCGAATCGGATTGAACCGTTTGCTCGGGAATTATTTTATCACACGTGTTCACAAGCACATTCAGCAATATGTGTATACATGTATGTGGCCGAGCAGTATAACGAAATAGTAATAATTTATTGTTGTGTCTTAGAATAATTTACAAAAAGGAATCGGTTTTAGGCGGATTCGACTCTTTACTGTTCTAAGGAGCCGATTCATAGAACCGAGCCGATTCGATTCGACCTTCACCAGGCAAGCAACGGCTCTTCTAATTTGAAATCCACCTGTCGCCTTTTCCTCCAGTGAATTCATCCTCGGTAAGTGTTTAAAAGTCAAATTCTGTTCGTTAAAGGGTTGTTTTGTGTATATTTCCGTGTAGTGTGTGTGTAATTTAAAATAATTAACCAAGTTACTTCAGTTGTAGGTTCTTGTCACGTTATTCGACGCCAGACCGTGTTTGTAGTGTTTGCGACGTATTAGATAACGTTAAGTGAGTTTATCTTAAGTGAGTTTTTGACCATAGTAACGTTACCTGAAAAAAAAAACTTTTACTTGGGGGTTAACTACATTAATGAATTCTGTATTTAAGCACAACACTGAGATGAAGGCAAAGTCACCATGAAAAGTTAAACGTTTAACGTTAAGTTAAGCTCTGGTCTTCATGTGGTCATTATGACTAATTTATCATTATGGTTAAATTTGTAAACTGTAGGTTAACTTACTTATTCAAACTAAACTCACAATGAAACAAGTCTAAACTGTTTTATTAAATTGAGCTGATAATAAAATTCAGTTGATGTCTTTTAAGCTAACGTTAATATTAACATAATTCATATTAATTGTCTATTTCTCACTGGTTAATGAGCTTATTGTATAGCGTTAGTGTGTCATTAATTGTACATTTTATTTTTGGTGTTCAAGTGTAGGGAATGATTTGTATACAAATTTATTTGAACCCCATACAGATTGGTATGGTTGTACCATAGATTTAGATTATTAAATGTTAAGTCTTATTTTACTCTTATCATATTTATCTTTTTTGCAGCTACAGCAATTGATGTTGAAAAACTGATGCTACCAATCTCTCCTCACTTGATTATTCAAGGTAATGTTGATGTCTTCCTCATTTTGATTAGATTATAAAATGTCAAGTTGTTCACAGATTTGTTGTGAGGAGTTTCATGTACAACCTCTTTTTCTTCTTCCAGTAGCGACGCAGTGGCACAGTAGGTAGTGCTGTCGACTCACAGCAAGAAGGTTGCTGGTTCAAGCCTCGACTGGGTCAGTTGGCTGAATACAATGGCATAATGATTCTGCTTGCTCACAGGAGGTACTTGATTTAGTTTTCCTCAAGCGATACATCAGTTTTTATGAGTAATGCGTGACACTTGAATTGAAGGGACAGTTCACCCAAAAATTAAAATAATGGTTTCAAAATAGTTAAAAATAGATTTTTTTTGTTGCATTGAACACAAACTCATATATTTTTTTTAAAGAAATTTGGTTCAAATATGGATGTCAATAGTTACTGGTTTCTAACATTCTTCAAAATATCTGCTTTAGTGTTCAACAGAAATTCAAACTGGTTTAAAACACATGGAGTAATGGTGGCAGAAAAGTAAACTATCCTTTTAAATATTTTATTCTGAGACTTATTTTATATGTGTCTTGTCTTTTGCCATATTGTCTTTCTAGCTCAGATTGTGATGAACCTGGAATGCGACACCAGTTACTCTTAAGTCAAGAACCAAATAAAGCACAGATGTGGAGGGATCTACAACTAAACTAACTGGAGGAAAGGAACCTTTAGGTAAAAACACCTGCCTTATTTAGATCTGAAGTATTTTATTTGGCATAGAGTATTATTTTTTTATTCTTATTCTAATTTTATGTAATGTATATACTGAATATAAGTCATTTAAATTTCACAAATGATTGAATATAAAATATCATCTAGATGTCTTATTTTTCATTGTCTTAAACATTGGTGCTCAACCCTGTTCCTGGAGATCGACCTTTCTGCAGAGTTTAGCTCCAACCCTGATCAAACGCAACTAAACAAACTAAATAGTATCTGAAGGAGCACTTGGTAAATAAAGACAGGTGTTCTTGATCAAGGTTGCAGGTGAGCTCTGCGGAAAGGTAAATCTCCAGGAACAGGGTTGAGCACCCCTGATCTAAATGCTCAAAAATGCTGAAATAGATTCATAAGGATTAATGCTTAAAGTAAATGTTTACTTCTCTCTGTAGACCAAACATGCTTAGTATCTCTCACATTTTAATAAATTATTCATTTTGGTTACTTTTACACACACACACATATATATATATATATATATATATATATATATATATATATATATATATATATATATATATATATATATATATGGGTAAGCAAGTATTTAATAACTAAAATTATTTAACCAAATGACTCTATTAACCTAGCTGCTGGGAAAAAAACATGTAAAATAACAGATTTTTTTTTTTTACAGTGTGGGTGAACATACTACCTGGATGTCCAACAAAGACTGCACAAGAGCTCATTTGATGGCACATTCTGTCCTGTCTACATCTCTGACAACCTGAAAGTGCTTCGACATCAGTGAGTAATAAATCTTCATATTATTATGCATTCAGGATTTCTGTAAGCCTATCTTTAATTTAAGTTTGTAATCAGCAGTGACTGTTTTAAAAAATGTGGTATTTAAATTATTCTTAACGTTTTACTGATGCTGTGCACAGTAACGTCATGATGATTTAATTTGAGGAAATGTCACTGGTGAGGTGTAATAATATTTATTTGTTTCACTGACATGCCATCACTGCATATTGAAATACAGTAAAACGAATTGACTGCAAAATATTATCACAAACATTTCTAGTAGTAGACTGCTTGACTACTCTTCAGTTCTCTGCTCAACTTTAACACATTTTGTTGTGTTGCTGCGCCTTTCAGCAGATTTTGCCAAAAATGAATGCTTAGTGATTACTTTGTTTTATGCGAACCAAATGTCAGTAACTCATCATTAGCATTATTTTTTTTAGTTAGAAGTAGATTTTCACATGTTAAAAGCTTAAAAGTACTTAATTAACATTAGTCACGTTAAATTAGATTATTTTATTTATTTATTTATTTATTTATTTTTAATATGTAGCCTCTTAAGGTCAGAATTAACTGTGTTCACCCCTCTTAAATTCGTGGAAGCTCTAGTGTGGTCATGGAATCAGATATTCAAGCTATACAGAGTCAGACATTAAGTTAAGATGAGACTTTATTTTTTACATACCTGTGTGGACACTTGACTAGTGTTGACTTGACTGATCTTTTCCCCATTACTGTTAGTGTAATTGTAAATAGACAACAATCTGTATTTTGTCAACAAAAACGACAAAAAAACAGTGTTTTATTTATATAAAACAGCAGTGCGGTGTTTGGTTTCTGAATGAATGAAATAATTTGAGGCATGATTAGTTTTTACTCCAGTGATTGATTTTGCTTGTCATTTTTGTAGGATCATCAGAAGTGCTCCTGCCCTTTTTCACTGTCCCTTTTCTACAACATCATTTGGCCTTCATCATTTCGTGTCTTGTAGCAGTATTTTCACCTGTTTTTAAAATTGTAATACTTTTTGATGCATTAATTGTTGACTGGTTTTAATGATCAATTTGTCATTAGTGTTCTGTTGCTGTGTTATATTGAATAATTGCTACTGTTTCAGTATGGTTTACACAATAAACTTTTATTGTGAAGTTAAAGTTTCAGTTTCTTTATTTTTCTTGCATTTCTTGAACAGTTAAAATAACATTTGTGCAATTTTTAAACATTTTTTTGCTCATTATAAAGTAGCACTATTAAATACAATAAAATAACATTTAATAACTGTAAAATACTTTACAGTAATAATGAAAGTAACGTTAAAATACCGTAGTTCTGCATGGTAAAGATGTACAGTAAAATACTGTTTTCAGTTTTGCAGTATGTGTATCAGTACTGTAATTGGTGTTACAGTAAAAAAATAAAACAGTAAAATGATGTATTACATTTTACAGTAAATGTAATACTAAAGTAATTAGTATTACAGTAATGTTACTGTTTTATGAAATACAGCAGCTACTGGATAATTGTTGCCAGTAACTTACTGTTAATTTAACAGGAAATCGTTTACAGTGTGCTTTCACTTTCACTTCAGCCGCTTTCACGGTCTCTATGGTTACTGTTTTTTTCAATGTCTGCTTGTATTATCTTTTTGTTGCAATTTTTGTAAAGTGTCCTTCAGCTCTGGAAAGGCGCTATTTAAATAAAAAAAAAACTATTACTGTTATTATTATTTTTTTTTTGTAAAGGCACCGATAGTCATTCATTGTTACAGTGTGCTCATTTAGATAAAACATGACATAAACATTTAACATTCAACGCTTTTGAACAAGTCAAATCTGAATTTCTCTATATAAAAACATGCATGAAAACAGAACAAGCATGATGGAGATGTCTTTAATATTTTTGTCACGATGTGGATCATTTAATTATATATAATATTTATAATAATCATAATAATATAATTTGTATTATTAAAGCTTCAAAACTTCTTCAACAGTTTTGGCAGCAAGTCTTTATTCCTCTCTTGTTAATTAAACTATGCAGTGCAGCATTTTATTTCTGAAACTGCACAGTCATGTCTAGGATGACGATGCAAAAAAGCTCATACTGTAAAGGATGGTTTTACTTTTGCGATGAGATAAGTATGCCATGTTCATAATTAAATAAGTAGAAATCACACACACACTGCATTAATTAGGTTTAAAACAAATTGCTCCCGACCGCAAGATATAACATGACAACATATTAATTACTGCATCAAAGAGCCAATTGTATACTTTTTGCGTTTTATTTATTTATGTGTTTATTGTTCTTTTTTTCTTTATTGATTAATTAATCAGGCAAAATATAGGGAGGGCGATAACACAATTATAACGCCAATAATAAAACAGATAAACTTTTGGGGAGAAAACAACTATTCTATTTATTTTATTATTTTTGTTGTTTATTTTATTTATTTTTGAAAGCTTATTAAAATTCGCATCTCTTAAATATATTTTCTTATTAATGAGCAAATGATGACAGCTCTCTTTCCTCCCAACTTTAACACTTGAATAAGTATGCATGAAATCATTTACGTACCATCAGCGATCATCAGCATTACTGTCATTAAAACAATCTTCGGTTGATGCATCTTCAGATAAGCGAAGTTAAACAAAACGAGCATGTCTACATTACTGGAGATATCGCTGCTGACAGACAGAGCTGCTCCTGCAATGCGGCAAAATGAAAACTTTCACTTTCAGTTTAGACGCAAGGATAATTTTAGATGAGACGCATACGCTGGACAATGAACACATCACCGCGATGGTGTAAGTACTGTATGAGCACACCGAAATATAACCAGACAATCACAGCATTAAAGTGTCATCATAAATAATGCAATGCAAATAAAGTATAATGAACCAATAAAATTAACTATTTATCACTATTTATCTATTGAACTTTAAATTGTCTCATTAAAATGCACTCTAGTCTATTATTTTCACGACTTATGTACTCTACTTCTCTATCTCTCAATCTGTTAACTTTGCAGAAATGTTCTGATGGATAAAATCAAGCCTTAATCAACATTGTATTTCTCATACTCCACAACAGAAAGTACATTTGACTATAAGTCATTTCAGCTTGCCTCACATTACCATAATGCTACGTTTAACAATCATAAAATGACAGTATAAAGACAAATTATTTATATTTACCAATGTGTGGATCACTTGCTGTTTGTCAGTGCCTCATCTAAAGGAGTGACCGTTTTGTTGTAAAACAGCGTCCTCTGCTGGAAACTCCAATCAAAAATTAAACAATTGATTCTTATGGTTGGAAGACCTAATGTAAATAAATACTCAACCATGGCTTCTGTTCTGGGATGGACAAGAGGTAGATTTTACCTTTAGGTAGGGTAGCACCAGGCAGCAGGTCAAAGGCACAATCACATACTCAACATGATGAAAACTGGGTTGTTGCGGTCTAACTGAAGACATCGTTGCATGCATTGAATGCCTTCTTCTTGGGAGTTTCTGGATGAATTGGAGGCAGGGCTTATTTGAGTGTCCAGGTTCAGGTAGTTTCTAAAAACAGCTCAAGAAACAATTATTCACAATTAATCAGTATTTCAGTTTACTGAAGAAGAATGCTTAAAGAGTGTGTCCCAGGATTCAATCCAGCATGAAGGTCTCCAACACAAGTAAAACTAAATAAATTCTCTCGATTTAAAAAAAAAAGGCTATTTTTACATGCTTTCACGCGTAACACTGGTAGTGACACAGCTGTCAAATCACAGAATAGTGATGCGTGGATGGCGGTTATATCTGCGGGCGCTGTGGATAATCCACGGGTAAGGCGGGTCAGGTAAAAAAAAATGCATTATGATTAATTGCTGATGGGTCATGGGTGGATAACAATAAATATTAGTGATTTTTGCTTTGTATTTTTTAAAAACATTCTGTAAAATACAATGGTTTTAATATATTGTTACAACACAGGCTTATTCTGAAAATGTAGTCCCATGTATGTTTCTGGAGACCGCAAATTATGTAGCCGAAGGTACACATGGCTGCATTTCATCTTTTTTAAGGGAACGCTACGAGCGGTATGACGCTGTTCCTTTTCACGCGTGTGCAGGGCTTTCCCGCTGCAACCAGTTTGTCCTCGTTTGTATGTTGGCAGACTTGAGATGCAGGGAGGAATTGACCACAATGATGACAGGGTTCGAGTCCAGGGAATAGCGGTTCCAGAAATCAGATAATCATTAAAATGAACAAGTGAATACCAGGGTGAAAATGTGGTAAAATCTGAAAATGTGGTAAAAATCAGACGAGGGCTTTTCTTTTCTGGACGGCTTTTGTTGGTTGGCTTTAGGGACGTAAGTGGGTGGACTAGTTAATCGATAAAATTGGTTGGGTTTAGGGGAGAAGGGTGGGTCGATTGAATGGTCGGTCAGCCAGTCATTCAGTCAGTCCGACAGGCAGTCAGCGGCCTCTGGTGGGTTTACGTGAGAACAGCGCGCGCGAACAGCGCTCTCGAGAGAAATTTGAGATATGATAAAGCATACACAGCCTCACAAATAAACAAACTGTATAAAATAAGTTTTAAAAAAATTTTCCCAGGCTATAACATGACAGAAATAGATTAATTACTGCAACAAAGAGACAATTAATGGCATTTTAGGATATTGTATTTATTCATGTAATTATTAATTAATCGTTCAAGCAATGTATACAGGGGGGAAAGGGGGGACTGACGATTACAGCATATCAATTCACATTTGTTTAAAAAAATTACAATTAAATTAACAATATATATTTAAATAACTTAAAGCTTATTCAAAATAATATCCCTATATTTAAATACACATTTTTATTTCAAATAAGAAAAAAAAACAGCTCTTTTCTCTTTAACACTGAACTTCAGCACTTTTATAATTATGCAGGAAATTATTTATGTACCATCAGTGATCAGCAAAACTATTCACATTAAAACAATGCATCTTCAGACATGCTCAATTCAGCAAAACGAGCATGTCTAAATTAAAGAATGAAAACGTACTTTCACTTTCAAAATGATGGAAAAACAGACCCCTGTGTAATGAACACATCAGCAAGATGATTTTAGCATGTCTACTGTATGATCACAGAAAACTAATCAGACAATAATCACAGCATTCCACTGTCGAAAGACTCACAATAAATCATTACTGCAATTAAAAACTAAAGTAATAAACAATATACTGCAACTATGCATGCACACACATTAATAAGCAACAAAACGACATAAAATCAGCCATCAAGAGTATTGAAATTAAAAGAGTATTTAAAAACAGTATTAAAATAACTTCATCATAAAGGGTGAACTTAAAAATGATATGTTGTGCATTATTCTCAGCCAAGGTCACAATATATGAAGTGTACTTGTAAACATTATATTGATCTGTAAACCTTTCAGAAATGTTCTGATGAATAAAATCTTATAGTCCACAATAAAAGTACATTTAATTTCAAAATGCCACTCATCAAAACACCTTTAATCTTGATAAAATAATGGCACAATGTCAAATCATTTATTATTACCCGTGCATGGGCTACTTGTTTCCAAAGCTTGTTCCTGGAGGCCCACCAACAGTACACAATTTGGATATCTCCCTTATCCGACCCATTCATTTCAAGTTTTGTAGTCTCTTCTGATGTTCTGATGAGTTCATTCAGGCGTGTTTGATTAGGAAGAGGATGAAAATGTGTACTGCTGGTGTGCCTTCAGGAACAGGGTTGGGAAACATGACTTATCTAAAGGGATTTTCATTTTGTTGTAAAATAGCGTCCTCTGTTGGAGACCCAATGTCACAGCAACAAATGGAAAACATTTAATTTTTATGGTTGGCGTAAACCTTGGAGAAAAACATGTGAAAACTCATCCATGGCCTACTGTTCTGGGATGGACAAGGGGTAGATTTTCCCTTTAGGTCGGGTAGCACCAGGCAGCAGGTCAAAGGGACAGTACCATGGTCAACGTGGCAATATCTGGTTGTTGCTGTCTTACATCCTGGAGTGCCCCATACTCAGATGCTGTTTTCTACCTTCTTGAACATATCTGGTGTCTCAACATTGGTAGAAAAAATGTGAAGGCAGAGCTTATTTGGCCACTAAACATATGCTGGTATTCAATAATTTAATATGGCAATAATGAACATGTACAATATTGATATCGTAAGCACTTCAAAATAGTGTGTTTGGGAATATTTCAACTAGTAGAGGGCCTTTAAAGAATATTCAGGTTATTGAATTTCAATACAGCAATACAGTTGTTCATTACAGCACCAAATGTTTTAAGAATAATAGTTGATTTATTTCCAAATATTAATGTATTCACATGCTAATCTGCCCTACGACAATAAAAATCCATAGACTATTTATAGGCCTTTTGTTCATTAACTGCATACAGTGAGGTTTTATTGATTTTGTTTAGTTAATTGGTTAAAAACTGCAGATCCCGTGGAACCACACCAGCCTAGAACCTCCAGAACCATCATCTTCACCTACAAGATCGTCTGAGGCCAGCCACCTGTGCATCAGTTTGCAGAACAAGTCATTTCTGCACAAACTATCAGACATCATCTCAGGAAAGCTCATCTGCATGCTCATCATCCTCATTGAGTCTCAAACTGACTTCAGATCATCATCATAACCAACTTGAAATGGCAAATGATCCCATCTGATGGTGTTTGGCACTTTAGAGAGATGTTCTCTTCATGGATGAATCTTGGTTTTCACTGTGTGACAGTGTGTACGGCGTCGTGTGGGTGAGTGGATTGCTGATGTCAGTGTTGTGAATCGAGTGGCCCATGGTGGTGGTGGTGGGATTATGGCATGGCAAGCCTATGTTATGGACACGGGTTATTGATGGTATTTCAAATGCACAGAGAAACCGCATTGCGATCCTAAGGCTTATTGTTGTGCAAATATCCAGCAACTTCGCACAGCTATCAAAATGAAATGTACTAACACTCCACAGGGCACAATTAATAACCTGGGGCCTCATGTATCAACGCTGCGTACGCACAAAAACTTTGCGTACGCCAGGTTTCACGCTCAGAATCGCTCACGTTTGGATTTACTAACAATGAACTGAACGTGGGAATGTGCGCAGCTTCACGGCAGCTTTCTGGCAGGCGTACGCACATTTTTTGTGCGTGTCTGTTTTATTTCCATTGGCGACTCCTAGAGGCAGTTGTGTTAAATTCCTCTCTACAAAGTGTCTGATCCTTGCAATGGCAGCTGTATGAGACGGGTTCAGCAGGTATATAAGGTTTCCATACCATACATTTGACCAGCTAAACATTAAAGCACAATTTGCAGCAGTCGCCTGTTTTCCCAATGTAATCTGAGCGATCTACCGCACGCACATTGCTATAAAGACACTATCTGAAGATGAATTTGCATGCATGAATCAGAAACATTTCCATTCAATAAATGTGCAAATAAAATATGATGCTTATTGATATGAACTTATTGATGATTCCTACTTGTCTTTCTCGTGATAAATAGTTGGCAAAATCTGATATGTAGCGGGGGAAAAAACAAGAAAGAGTTCATCAGACGCTGGATTCGAGCCGAGCTCATGCTCGAACGTGTCAATTCATGATCACATGCGTCTTACGAGTAGCGCCACTGAGACTGTTAAGCGTCCTGCAACATTTTACAGATATAAACCACACTATTTCTTTTTTTTAATGCACTCAGAGCGATGTTCAAACCCAACTGTGTTAACCGCATCAGCTAAACTCTCCCACTATATTTTTTTCTTTTGTTGTTAATTCTGGAGAACAAACTTGCAAATAACACCGCTTTTCTCCGGTCTACCTCCGAAAGGAGCACCTACAATTCACATTCTGTTCAAAGTTTCTCTTTTTGCTTGCTTTTGCCGTTGCTTTTTCGTTGGGTTTTTCCATTAGCATAGTCATTAGCATATTCATACGGGGGAGGAGGCAGGGAGGGGTTTTGTGCTCGTGCATGTTGCGCTCAGTTTCACGTTCATTCAGATGTACAAAAGAATATGCGTGAGATTCGGCGTACGCAGTGTTTCATACACCTGAAATTTTTTCTGCGTACGCACATTTACAGCTTTGTGCGTACGCAATGTTTTAGTAAGATTTCCACGCAAGTCTTCGTACATGAGGCCCCTGATGACCTCCATGTGAAGGACATGTGTGGCACTGCATGAGTAAAAATGGTGGTCACACCAGATACTGACCGGTTTCCTGACTATTTTACAATGACAGGTGTCAGTGTGAAAACCTTTCCTTTCAATGGCTTTGACTAACCGTGCCGCCACTTCAAGATACCACTCTAGGCGATTGCCTCCATTGCATAGGTTTACATCTTCCACTGAAGCCAAGATTTATTTATTCATTTTGGCAACAACCTTATGGGTTTCCACTGAGTGGTACAGTATGGTACGGTAGGCTTTTATGGATGTTTCAACTGTCAAAAGGTACCAAAAACGAACCCTACCATACCACGTTTTTTGTTTTCATGAACAAACTGCCATGGTGTACTATTATTATCACCTTTTGGACTATTATGAACTCAGAATAACGAAAAAACTTTCTAACAGAGGTTACATTTGCATCTGACTGTGGGCTATATGTTGCATGCTGTTTTTGAACCCAAATAAGGACTTAATGTATGCTGTGTGTAGTTCTTCTGTAAATGGTTACATATCGAAGACTGTAATGCTGTGTTCACACCAGACGCAGAACGCGCGGATAAATCGCGTTATTCGAGCGTAAATAGCCGCGTGAACATTTGAGGTAACTCGCTTCATTTGCGCGTCAAATCAGATTCATTTGCGCATGAAATTTATTATTCGCGTGTTTGCATTGACTTAACATGTAAATCACTCGCGCTTGACGAGCGTTCCGCGTCTGGTGTGAACGCAGCTTGAGGGTCTGTATGTGTTTATATACACATTACATTTATTTATTTATTTTATATAATCGCAGACGTCAGAGTAGGCTATTTCGCATCATTGATCTGCAGTTATAATCAAATCCTGTTCATAGTAGTGAACATTTATACACGAGTATCTATGCGTATGAAGCATCTGTTTTGTAAGAAGTGCTTCTCACTTGATATGTGAACGACCCGTACAGCTATACTTTGACATTTCCTTAAACGAGAATGACATTGACTGAAACTTTGTCCTACACTACACCCACCGAAAGGATACCATTGCTACTTTTATGCAGTGGAAATGCAAGCCTGATAAAGGTGACCCATACCGACCCGTACCGTACTCTACCACTCCATTAATACATGAAAACATGTGATATAAAAAAAGTTGCTCTGCTAAAATGCAAAACATATACATTTGGTTTTTCAACCAATTAGGTAAATTCAGTAGTCATGGAACAAGTTCAACATCAAATAAAAGAAACTATTGATAAATGAATCAAACACTCAATATAAACGGATAGACCCCCTGCCCCTCGCTACATTAACACCAAACATTCTGCTTTTGTCCAGTTTCATGAGTCCTATCAACTGCAACAAATGAGTGAAACTCTTTAGATGCTGATCACGGTTTCTCTCGTGTGAATCCTCTCATGTTTTTTTCCGGATATGTAGCTGATTGAACACTTGAAAAGTTTCTCTCCAGTGTGAATCTTCTGATGTTTTCTTAAACTTAACCGTGTTGAAAAACTTTTTCCACACACAGGACATGAATAAGGCTTCTCCTTTGTATGAGCTCTAAGATGGATCTTCAGATTTGTGGCTCTTAAAAATGTTTTGCTGCATTGATCACATTTGTGTGATTTTTCTCCAGTGTGGATCAACATGTGTTTATTAAGGCTTGATGACCCTCTGAAATTCTTCCCACACTGAGAACATGTGTACGGTTTCTCTCCAGTGTGAATCTGCTCATGTTTTTTAAGATTTCCTAACTGACTGAATCTCTTGTCGCAGTGTGAACACTTGTAAGGTTTCTCTCCAGTGTGAATCCTCTGGTGCAGTTTCAAATGTTGAGCACTAATAAAAGTCTTCTCACACTCAAAGCACATATACTCTTTCACACCAGTGTGAATCTTCTGATGTACTCTTAAATATGACTGCCTTGAAAAACTCTTTCCACACACAGAACATGAATAAGGCTTCTCCTTCGTATGAACTCTAAGATGGATCTTCAGATATACAGGTTTCAAAAATGATTTACCGCATTGATCACATTTGTGTGTTTTCTTTCCAGTGTGGATCAACATGTGTTGATGAAGGCTTGATGGGTATCCAAAACTCCTCCCACACTTAGCACATGTGTACGGTTTCTCTCCAGTGTGAATATTCATGTGTTGAGTAAGGGATGATGATTGTGTGAAGCTCTTTCCACACTGAGTACATGTGTACGGTTTCTCTCCAGTGTGAATCCTCCCATGTATTTTCAGGATTGATAAATGACTGAATCTCTTGTCGCAGTGTGAACACTTGTAGAGTTTCTCTCCAGTGTGAATCCTCCCATGCGTTTTCAGTTTTTGTAACTGACTGAATCTCTTGTCGCAGTGTGAACACTTGTAAGGTTTCTCTCTAGTGTGAATCCTCTGGTGCTGTTTCAAATGTTCAACTGTGAAAAAAGTCTTCTCACACTCAAAGCACATATACTCTTTCACACCAGTGTGAATCTTCTGATGTACTCTTAAATATGACTGCCTTGAAAAACTCTTTCCACACACAGAACATGAATAAGGCTTCTCCTTCGTATGAACTCTAAGATGGAGCTTCAGATATACAGGTTTCAAAAATGATTTACCGCATTGATCACATTTGTGTGCTTTCTTTCCAGTGTGGATCAACATGTGTTGATGAAGGCTTGATGGGTATCCAAAACTCCTCCCACACTTAGCACATGTGTACGGTTTCTCTCCAGTGTGAATATCCATGTATTGAGTAAGGGATGATGATTGTGTGAAGCTCTTTCCACACTGAGTACATGTGTACGGTTTCTCTCCAGTGTGAATCCTCCCATGTATTTTCAGGATTGATAAATGACTGAATCTCTTGTCGCAGTGTGAACACTTGTAAGGTTTCTCTCCAGTGTGAATCCTCTGGTGCAGTTTCAAATGTTGAGCACTAATAAAAGTCTTCTCACACTCAAAGCACATATACTCTTTCACACCAGTGTGAATCTTCTGATGTACTCTTAAATATGACTGCCTTGAAAAACTCTTTCCACACACAGAACAGGAATAAGGCTTCTCCTTCGTATGAACTCCAAGATGAGCCTTCAGATTTGCAGCTTTCAAAAATGATTTACCGCATTGATCACATTTGTGTGTTTTCTTTCCAGTGTGGATCAACATGTGCTGATGAAGGCTTGATGAGTATCCGAAACTCCTCCCACACTGAGTACATGTGTACGGTTTCTCTCCAGTGTGAATAATCATGTGTTGAGTAAGGGATGATGATTGTGTGAAGCTCTTTCCACACTGAGTACATGTGTACGGTTTCTCTCCAGTGTGAATCCTCTGATGGACCTTCAGATCTGCAGCTGTCAAAAATGGTTTACCGCATTGATCACATTTGTGTGTTTTCTCTCCACTGTGGAGCTTCATGTGTTGATTAAGACTTGATAATCCTCTGAAATTCTTCCCACACTGAGTACATGTGTATGGTTTCTCTCCAGTGTGAATCCTCTTATGTAAATTCAAGTTTCCTAGCCGATTGAATCTCTTGTCGCAGTGTGAACACTTGTAGGGCTTCTCTCCAGTGTGAATCCTCTCATGTACTTTCAGAGTTGATAACTGACTGAATCTCTTGTCACAGTGTGAACAATTGAACGGTTTCTCTCCAGTGTGAATCCTCTCATGTATTTTCAGGACTGATAAATGACTGAATCTCTTGTCGCAGTGTGAACACTTGTAAGGTTTCTCTCCGGTGTGAATCCTCTCATGTCTTTTCAGAATTGATAACTGACTGAATCTCTTGTCGCAGTGTGAACACTTGTAAGGTTTCTCTCCAGTGTGAATCCTCTCATGTGTTTCCAGGCATCTTACATAACAGAATCTCTTGTCGCAGTGTGAACACTTGTAAGGTTTCTCTCCAGTGTGAATGCTCTCATGTCTTTTCAGAATTGATAACTGACAGAATCTCTTGTCGCAGTGTGAACACTGGTAAGGTTTCTCTCCAGTGTGTACAGTCTGGTGCCTTTTCAAATGATCAGCTCTAGTAAAAGTCTTCTCACAATCCAAGCACATATACTTTTTCTCACCACTGTGGATCTTCTTATGTTTTACTAAACTTGACTGCATTTCAAAACTTATTTCACACACAGAACATGAAAGAGGCTTCTCTTTTGTATGAGCCCTAAGATGTGTCTTCAGCTGTAAAGCCCTCAAAAATGTTTTGCCACATTGATCACGTGTGTGTGTTTTATCTCCACTGTGGATCTGAGGATCCAAAACTCTTCCCACACTGAGTATGTGTACGGTTTCTCTCCAGTTTGGATCCTCGTGTGAATCTCAAGACATGGAGTGCACAAAAAACAATTCCTGTTTCTATTTTTTCATAAGGTAAACCCATTCAGCTGGTTAATATGTACTTTACCAGATCATCTTCAATCTTCTCATTCTCTTCAGTAAAGTCTGAAATCAAATTGGAAAAAAAAAAGCTTTTAGTCAATCATAAAAATCTGAGCAAACTGAAGTGAAAATACATTGGAGACAGTGACAAAACAAACCTTCATTTTGACACATTTTTACAAATTTCTCTGTCAAAATCAATATCAAGTTTATAACAGGTATTAAGGATCAGGGCTGCATTACCTGATAACATCTATTATGCAATGAAGACTATTTTATTCTGGGTCTACCCAGCCAAAATTCCTTGAACTTCCTGAACTGCTCAAAATTTCTCCTGGTTTGTCTCTTTTTTCAACTGGAAAAAATGGTTAATTGCAAATTATTACTAACAAGTTATGTAATCTGAATTTAAACAAACAAAAAGGACTGGTGTTCTGCTGTTTGTGTGTGAACGTGGAATTTATGTGTAGTGTTTTGACAAAATGAGCCTTCATTTTGAAATTGTGCTTAAGCAATCGTAAAAAAAAACTGTAAGCAAAAAAAAGTGTTTTGTTTTTATCAGATTAATAAAAAAGAAATAAAATGACCCAAATAATTAATTAATCGCAATAAACATTAGTTATTAGTAAACGTGTATAATCAGGTGAATATAGTCCTATTTACCATCATGGATGTCTTTAAAAGGTAAGGAGCTAACTGGAAAAGGGTTAGAGTTAGATTTTTTAATTCTCTAAAAGTGTGCTGTAAACATGTAAACCTGTATAACCATATATACATAATTAGATGTGTAGTTTACGATTATGTCTTAGAGAGAACTGAGCAAGACTACAGCCATGGAGCATGCACATTCGCTTGCAAAGCAGAGTGAACAGGGCTATATGTGAAAATACAGCCATGGTATGTGGACATTTATGGTATGCTCCTGAGAAGCCTGAAAAATAGAGAAGGGACAGAGCCTCCAAGAATAACATGAAAAGTGTAACATGACTCTTAACACCTGTCAATGCATGAAGTGTATACTGGACCCATTAAGTGGAAACACTATGCTAAACTGGCCAAATACATTGATCCGTGATCCATACGCACGTGACCTGCAGATTTATATATATATATTTTACTTGTTGGTTAAATCAAATATCTGTACAATGTAGTATAAATTAAAATGTCAGATTTATTCATATAGCATCGTCATCAGCAACAGAAAAGATTATCATTTTTCACAGCATTAAATATTTATTTTAATTTAGCATGTACAGGTTATAATTCATGTTTAATAAAACCAAATGTTTCTTGCAGTAATGTTTTGGTAATAAATGGAAAGCAAATTACATTTGTCTCCTTCCTCTTTTTGGCTGATCTAAAAAAATGGTCTGAAATGGTCAAAACCATAATGTGATCTGAACCGTGAGATTTGTGAACTATTGAACCGCTATTAATTACACATCAGCTTTACCTGCCAAAACATTATAAAAGCTGTGATTTATCTGGACATTTTCTGGACTATTTGCATTAAAAAAAACTGAAAAATGTCTTTACTCAACATTCACTTCTTCAAAACTTATCAGGGTTTCTTTACTCTGTTGAACACAAAGGAATACATTTTGGTTTCAGCTTTTCTCAAACTATCTTCTTTAGCATTGAACAGAGTAAAGAAACTCATAAATGTTTAGAATAAAGCACTTAAGGAAAAGTAAACACCGAGTAAATCTTCATCTTTGGTTGAATTATTCATTTTAAACAGTTTTCTTCAGCATATCTCTGAAATCACTTCCTAAATACATTACATAGAAATACAAATAAAAAGTACATTCGTGACATTAGTATAAGAAACTATAAATATCGCTCAAATATTTACCTAATAATGCTAACGTTATGCAAGTTATCAATGATCAGCAAAACAGATCAACCCGCAACATATAGCATTCGCACTCAATCACATTCACACACTCGTAAACCTTACAAAGGTCAGATTTAATACATTTAACTTACTTTATATAGAAGAACAACATACAGTAGCAAAGGTAAAGTTTGGCATCCGTCGGCAACTCCAGTACGCTAATTCACTCTCCAACTCATATAATAAACATTTGCCTGCACGCCGACCAGCGAATGCCGATTGGCTGCCTGTGGCTCAGCGAATGCTGATTGGCTGCCTGTGGCTCAGCGAATGCTGATTGGCTGTCTGTGACTCGGGGAATGCTGATTGGCTGTGAATCAGTCTTGGTAAAAGAAATGTCTGGTCAGAAAAGTAAGTTACTTAGTTTTTCGTTTTCCTGGACTGTTTTATGCAGCTGAATGTTTGAGCCTTTCAGACAAAAAGTAAAGTGAACAGCCTCAGACTGAAGGAAATATACTTTTACATCAGTGATATTTATGAGCAAAAGGACACAGGAGAATAAAGTTCAACATCCTTTAGTGATAAAATAAAGGAAAGAAGAAACACAAATGTTAAATGATGCATTTAAATAGTTAGGTTTTGCTTGCTGGATCCGATTTGGTTATTAAAATGACATTTTACATAACTTGGTCTGAGTTATTTTATTTATTTTTTTTTTTTACGATCTTTCGAGTGACAATTGTGGTACTCTGAAAAATTAGATTACATGAATACAGCCACCATCTCTCATGAAGGAAAACGTACATTTCAAGCTAAAATCTGTTACATTTCTGAAGATTGCTTCTCTTTTCTGCATATAGGTATAAATATTTAGTGGAATGAACCGCCAACTCTTCCAGCATATGTTTTATGCAGTGGATGCCCTTTCTGCTGCAACAGTACTGGTAAACATCCACACACACACAAACATGTAGAGAACATACAAACTCCACACAGAAATGCCAACTCACCCAGCCAGGACTCGAACCAGCGACCTTCTTGTTGTGATGCGACAGTGCTAACCACTGAGCCACTATGTCGCTCTCCATCGTGCCACACATATATGGGGTACAGGAAGTATTCAGACCCCCTTAATTTTTCACACTTTGCTATATTGCAGCTATTTGCTAAAATCATGTTATTTTTTTCCTCAATGTACACACAGCACCTCATATTGACAAAACACAAAATTGTTGGCATTTTGTTTAGAAAAGAAAAACTGAAATAGCACATGGTCATAAGTATTCTTTGCTCAGTATTTAGCTGAAGCACTTTATGGACACAGTCATGAGTCTTTTTGGGAAAGATACAAGTTTTTCACACCTGGATTTGGGGATCCTCTCCAGTTCCGTCAGGTAGGTGAACAGTAATTTTTAGGTCTCTCCAGAGATGCTCAATTGGGCTCTGGCTGGGCCGTTCAAGAACAACCACTAAGTTGTTGTAAAGCCACTCTTTTGTTATTTTAGGCAAACTTTTAGCCCAGTCTGAGGTCCTGAGTACTCTGGAGAAGGTTTTCATTCAGGATATCGCTGTACTCGGCCCCATTTATCTTTCCCTCAATTGCAACCAGTTGTCCTTTCCCTGCCGCTGGAAAACACCCTCACAGCATGATGCTGCCACCTCAGTGCTTCACTGTTGGGATTGTTTTTGGACAGGTGATGAGCAGTGCCTGGTTTTGAGAAGGCCAGAAGGTATCTTCAGACCAGAGAATCTTATTTCTCACCATCTTGAGTCATTCAGGTGTGTTTTCATGTGTCTTGCATTGAGAAGAGGCTTCTGTTGGGCCACTCCGCCATAAAGCCCCGACTGGTGGACTAAAGCCCAGTTAAGACGGAGCACTGGGGCACACTAACTGTATTTTAAGGATCCAACTTACTTTTGATATTGATTCAAGTGTACTTGTAGTTGGAGTTATTTCCATCTAGGGCAACAGGGTGTTGAACGAAGAGCCTAGGGTGCCTGACCATTTGAAAGTAAGGTTGTTCTAAATGAAGTGTACATGAGAATCCATGACAGTAGCTGAGCCAAAATGATTATAGAGAACAGTAGTCAGTTATATTTATAAGAATGGCCATAACCTATGATTAGAAATAAGATTACCTTTAACTCAAGGGTGTACATCTAAGGGGACTAATCAAAAATACTTTAGAATGAGCAAGCAGGAGCGGCTGTCTAAAAGTAGTCAATTACCTCTGTTTAATAATCAAGGATGACAATAGTGTGACGGTGAGGTACGCCACTGGCCAAGGTGATTCCTCTGCATGACGTGAGCACCCGAATGAACAAATGCATAGTTATGAGTAAAGACAAAAGGTTCAAGCATTCATCTAAATGAAATTGAAATAATCTTCGTAATGTTTTATGATTGGAGTCAGATAAAACAAAAATTAATATATTAATATTCTAAACCATCTCATATTAAAATTGGGATCAAATATGAGTTAAATTTAAACTACTTCAACATTGTGCACTGAAAAGGCTGAACATGCAGTGAACCATCATTCACCAGTAGACACCTCTAATGGGCCAAATAGATTCATACCTTACCACAAGGCATATTGAGTTCTGCGAATGAAGCCGACATCACTCCAGGAAGAAAATGAATACAAATGCACTTTTATTAATAAAATAAATTCAAGGAAAAAGAAGAATAAAACAACAAAATCTCCACTGAGAATAAAGAGCTTAAGACTTACACTATACAGAAGTCTGTTTAAGCGTGCTGCTGGATTATATGTCCCAGCATTTTATACAGTATTCAAGCCTTTAATACAGGTGTGCCTTTAATGTTATACGCTGCACAAGCTTTACTGATATGCTTGGGTATATCTCTATCAACAGCTAGTAGTAAAACATGCTAATCAACATTTGTGCAGTTCATCAGGGATGTCCTTTAAGGCCATTTTTTTTTTAGCTGGCGAAGAATTTCTTCATGCTTCTTCCAGATTGCAATTGTAGCAGTTTGTCAAAAGTGTCAAAAAGAGACCATATCCTCCTTTAGCGCCAGCAGATGGCTGACCCATTTCAACACATCATCCTTGACCTCTTCAAACTCTGAGACGCCTCCCTTGTCTCTTACACTTCTTCTCATCGCTAATAGCTGTTTTTGCAAGCATAGGAGCATCCAAATATGCAAGTGAAGTTTTGTGTCTTTTACAATTAATGTCATTAAAGCAACCAGACACTACACTGCACAGCTTAGCTCCAACTCACACTTAATAGTTTCTAGGGCTGTTTCTCAATACAAAAAATGCAGAGAATGGACTCGCGTTCTTGTGGAGAACGGCCTTGTCAAGTTACCTCAGTAAAATGAACTGAAGACTGCGAGAACAGAGAACGTACAAAAGCCTTATAAATATACTTTGCATAATACAAATAAACTAGATTAAAGTATGAATTTCACCTTTCCATGTGTTTATGCCTTTATTAAAACTTTAATGAGAAAACTCCTGAGATGATCAACTTATATCTCAACTGTAAATAATAGTGAATATAAAATTCAATGTGTCATATCATGTCATGCATCCTCTGTTCTTGCAGTCCTGAGTATTGGAACTGAACTTTCCACAAGGAAAGAACCTATACGAGCATATATGCAAATATATGATAATATATATGCTATATACACAGTTTAAGTCAGAATTATTAGCCCCCGTTTATTTATTTATTTTTTCTCAATTTCTGTGTAACGATGAGATTTTTTTTCAACACATTTCTAAGCATAATAGTTTTAATAACTCATTTCTAATAACTGATTTATTTTATCTTTGCCATGATGACAGTAAATAATATTTGACTAGATATTTTTCAAGACACTTCTATACAGCTTAAAGTGACATTTAAAAGGCTTAACTAGGTTAATTAGGCGAGTTAATGTATAATGATGGTTTGTTCTGTAGATCAAAAAATATATATATAGCTTAAAGGGGCTATTAATTTTGTCCTTAAAATGGTGCTTAAAAAATTTTAACTGCTTTTATTCTGGCCTAAATAAAACAAAAAAGAATTTCTCTAGAAGAAAAAAATGTTATGAGACATACTGTAAAAATTACCTTGCTCTGTTAAACATCATTTGGGAAATATTTAAAATTCAAAGGCGGCTAATAATTCTGACTTCAACTGTATATGTTTATTTAGGTTCTTTCCATGTAGGTTTGATGGTTGATGATCGTGTTACATGAGAACACAGCCCAGTACGATTGATTAGTAGGATCAGGTGTGAATGGAGTGTGAGACCTATGCTTAAAAGCCGAGGTCACACTGGACTTTTCTCCTCTTAGACTTCCATTCATACGTACGCGAAAGCGTCAAACTGGAAACACAAGCTCGTGCGGTAAGTTTCGCAGTTCGCTGCAGTGTAAAGTTCAAGCTTGGTGAACTCTCACCTGCAAAAATCACAACACATGACTGTCTGAGACCAATCAAAGTTCAAAACATCAAATATGGAGCAATCGCTCCCTTTTTAATCTCTAATTTAACTACCCCCCCTAGAGTCACTCTAGAGTTTGAGCATGCAAAATTCTGTTGTACGCCTCTGTGAAAAGGGGCGGGATTAAACAAGATGATTAAACATTTTAAAAAATAAGCGAATGATCCTTATGTTAAATTTCTGTCCAGAAAGGTCATGCTTTGATGTTTGATAGGTCTCACACAGTCACATGGTGTGATTTTGCTGGTCAGAGTTCACCAAGATTGAACTTTGCACCACAGCGAATTGCAAAACTTGCCGCACGAGCTTGCGTTTCTGGTCTGATGAGTTCGCGTGCGTATGAATGGAAGTCTATGGGGAGAAAAGTAACAAATATCTATGGGGAGAAAAATAACATCATCAGACACATTCATATACATGAGAATTAAACAAACAACCTTTAAAGGCATTAATAAACAACAATACATTCACATAGCACTTTGCTTGTTTGCAGTGTTGCCAACTTAGCTGCTTTGTCGCTTTATTTAGTGACGTTTCAGACCCCCTTAGCGAAAATATATCAATAAAGCAACTAGCGACAAATCTAGCAACTTTTTTTTTGGTGTTGCTGAAGATTTTTATAGACTCTCATGTGTCCATACTGTATCATTTCTAAGGAACTGTGGGTGATGCCGTCCGCCCCTCCCTCGCCTCAGAACACTCTCATGGCCCATTTCCACTGACTGGTACAGTACGTTACGGGTTAGTATGGGTCACCTTTATCAAGCTTGCGTTTCCGCTGCCTAAAGGGTACCAAGGGTCTCTTTTGGTGGGCGTGGTGTACGACAAAGTTTCAGTCAACGTCATTCTTTTCTGACAGGATGTCGATGTCGGAAGCATTTCAATGGTCATGCACACGTTATTATCAGCTCGAAGTTTGTTATTTCAAATATAGACACGCGGTGAGAACAAGCGAGAAAGCTAAACCGCTCCCGATTTAAACTGGCTAGTAAAAAACTACATGGCACAGGGTAGAATCTGCTGTTCTTCTTGGCTTTGTGGCTGTTCATCAAGATAACAAAGCTTGTTTGAGCTCAGGTTGACTGATTATATGTATATATTACTACGGTGTAATGTCTCTCTGTGTATTTAAAACATGGTGGTTGCTTTGTTTAAATTCTACTGCTTCTGTGTGTGTATCTCTGTAAACCAGTAGCGTTCAGCTGCGCGTCTTGCTCCGCCTTATGGTACCCTTAGGCCTGCTTGGTACCCTTTGCAAAGGGTGACCAAAAAAGTGGTACGGTACAGTACAGTTCGGTACGCCTTTTGACAGTGGAAATGGCCATAAAGGCAGACCGAACTGTACCATACCACTCAGTGGAAACGGGCCAAAAGGCAGCCCAGCCCTTGTATACAGCAGTCAATCTCTCCCACATGCAGCCTGACAGCAGATCACCCCTCTGTGTACCACCGGCAAATAAACGGCACCGTGAGCTAAGCTATTTTTCTTGAAACGATACAGTAAAACTGATCTGCTTCTCCATCATTAAAAAATAAACAATTTAATTTGGCCGTTTATTCTTTTCTTGTTCACAATCAGAGACATTTTAGTGACATTGTTGGAGCTTGTGTGAGTTTATTATGTCTGGGAGATTACTGCAAATTCATTATACATCTATACTGATATTCTGTATTCAAACAATACATTTAATTAAACTGACATGCATATATAAAGCCTAGTGCAAATATGGATAACACGATATTAACCATAGGCTGCTAAACAAAACTGCTGGACGTGATGACGTCAGTAATATGCAAATTGACACATGATATAATCTAGCGACTTTGAGCAGAGCTTATCGCCTTTTAATTGAAAATAGTTGGCAACACTGCCGGCTTGTAAACTAAGAGAGGATTGGGAAATCCTTAGATTTCTTGGCTGGATGACTTAAACTCACAAAAGAAACATCCCTAAATCTTGCTGTTACTTCCCTGTTTCATTTTCATGCGAGCGACCAACCCGCAAGTAATATTTTTCTAGGCAAAATGGGAATGAAATCAAAATGTCAAAAAATCTTTAGAAAGAATAACTCATTTCTCAAATAAATCAGAGATCAGTAAATAAGTCAAATAAGCATAATAAAATCATCAAAAACTATACAGATTAAACTAATCACAGTTAATGAAGTAAACAAGTTTCATAGATATATACACTAGATATACATACGGACCCTGAACATGCGTCAATAGCGCTGCCACATTTGTACAGTGCTCCCAGCACAAATGTCATTCAACTGCACTAGTCAAGGCAGTGTGCCAATGTGAAGATGCTGGACTTTAGCGCTGTGTACGGGTGTAACAACGAGCAAACAAAGAAAACAAAGCATGAAGGCAGAACAATTCATAGGGGAGATTTCGTTTTTTACGTTTTTGTATGTTACGAACTTTTGGGTTCACAAAGCACTGTTACTGATGATAATACAGTCACTTACTGCATTCACCAGAAGGCAATGTAGCACAAACTCGCACTAAATACCAGGCTTATGCTAGTTTTGTTGAATAAAATAAGCAAACAATGTAAATAAAATATGACAACAAGACACTGCACTGGCAGAAACTGTATTATTATTGTTGTTGTCGGTTAAGTGAACGAGTCGTTCATAACGGAGATGCATTAACAAATGAATCGCTCCCTCCATTAGAATGAGAAGTGAAAGCTGGAGAGGGTGTGTGACTGTGTGTTTCAGGACATGGATTAGATCAAATTTAACAGGGAGGGAGGTAATACATGTCCATGCACACAAACACGTGCTCTTTGTCTGCAATGCCCGTGCGGTCACTTATCCATTGATGTAGAAAAAAATCTTAGCATACTGACCACCGGGACACTCCAGATCATAAATATATATTTGTATATCTCTGGCTCTGGATGGCCACAGTCCACTGCACCTTGGTCACATTGGCACATTCAATTCAAAGGAGCGCTGTATTAAATGGCTGTATTAAACCCTGTACTAAAATGGCAGCTCTATTGATGCATTCCTTCTAATAGATAACAACAGGTTAGGCGACATCTAGTGTAAATATCTATGAGTTTACAGTACACAAGCGCCATCTAGTGGAAATATAATATCCCTGCTTTATGATAGGGGTTACACACAAACTGACCTGACGCTTTACTGTACAAACAAAGCTGGCACAAAATGAATCCAGGACTCCTGAGTCCTGCAGAAAGACACAAGAATTCACTTTTTATAAATCCACTGATTTTCATGCGTCCTTTTATGGTGGCCAGCCGGACCATGATGGACCCTGCTGAGATATGGATGTGTTATTATGCTGCCTGTGTCATGACACAGTGACTGTTGCTCAGCAAAGTGATGGGTGGTTTTTGAAACGAGAGTTGTTTTTTGTTTATTTTAATATCCTGATTACACAACATGACAACAACCATATCTCAGCAGGGTTCATCATGTTTTTGGGTCCCCTAGAAACATTTCTGTTGTGTTACGTGAATATTTGCAACCCTAGTAGCAAAGAATTCTGGCCCAGATTTGGCAAAAAGCTGGCACAGCAGGCATTCATCCGGCACTGGCATACAGCATGTGGGCCAAACATGGCCCGGGTTTGGCAGAGGTGGCACCGTTTTTAAGGCGGCACACAAGATTTGGGCCAGATGAAAAACGTAGTATTTGGCCCAGATCTAAAAATTTGATAAGTGGGCCATGTGAGTTTGGCCAGTCTTGACCCACATTTAAAATACACTAAAATCATTTTTGAGTAAAGAAAAAAAATTCTACCAATCAGGTCACTTTGAGAAAAAGCGTGCCCATAGTGTGCCTAAAGCGCATCACTCCATGGGTTTATCAATTTCATTGCAATCGTGACACATCAACCTATCTGGCCCAGTTCAGGCCCAGTTATGAGTTATTAACTTGACTGAGACTTGGCCCAGATATGGTCTGTGTTTGGCCCTTGTCTGGAAGCCAGATTTGGTCCAGTCATGTACCGTAATTCACTGCGGCATTTGGACCAAGCAAAACCTGATTATGTGGGCCAGAGTTGGGCCAGAGAAATTTTGCTATGTGGGAAGTGTTACGACCAATTTGCAGCACGCCGTGTGCAGTCAAATTGATGAAAATAGTTTCGTTATTTGCCGGTGTTTTGTGTAATTGCAAGTACTTTTTTGAATTGCAGCGCGTTAAGCTGTCTAGGCCATTGTATGATTTAAACCTTTGACTGCCGCTCTACCAGACGGTTGACCATGTTTTTGCTGTTTTAAATAATGACTGTTTAAAATAATGGTTTACACACACACAGCATTGTTGGTTTACAAAAAAAAAAAAAAAAAAAAAAAAAAAAAAAAACAAACATTTTGTTGCACTACTACACTTGATTTTGGTTTTATTGAAAAACAAACAAAACATGTAAACTGCTGTGTCAAACGAAAATCTTAAATAATTTTATGGCATACATTAAAAATAAAGATATTTAGTATTCAAAAATGTTTTGTTTTTATATTTTTTTAATTAATTGGTCTTCATATTTTCTGATTTTTTAATAGTATATTTATTAATTCTTATGGTACTTTTACCAACCATTTGGTAGAGACTGATATTTTAGAAATTATGGGATGCGTTGAAAAAAATACATTAAATGTGTTAACTAGCAACATTAGGAGTTAAGAAAGGCAAATCCATTTATTTATTTATTTTTTTTTTTTTGCTTGGTGGGGCAGTTAAAGGGCTAAGGTGCGACAGATAAACTCCCCAGACACTGGTCAAATGTGTACTTGTTTTCTTGTGTGAATCCTCATGATTTTTCAAGATTTGTAACTGAATTAATTTCTGGTCACAGTGTGGTCAATTGTAGTGATTCTTTCCAGTGTGAATCTTCTGGTGCAGTTTCAATTGTTTTCTCCAAAAGGCTTCTTCTTCGTATGAACTCTAAGATGGATCTTAAGTTTTCCAGCTCTCAAAAATGTTTTACCGCATTGATCACATTTGTGTGTTTTCTCTCCAGTGTGGATCAACATATGAATTTTAAGAGAAGATGATAGTCCAAAACTTTTCCCACACTGAGTACGTGTAAGGTTTCTCTCCAGTGTGAATCCTCTCATGTGTTTTCAGATGTCCTAACTGTCTGAATCTCTTGTCGCAGTGTGAACACTTGTAACGTTTCTCTCCAGTGTGAATCCTCTGGTGTCTTTTCAAACGTTCAGCACTAACAAATGTCTTCTCACACTCAAAGCACATATACTCTTTCACACCAGTGTGAATCTTCTGATGTTTGCTTAAATTTGACGGTGTTGAAAAACTCTTTCCACACACAGAACATGAATAAGGCTTCTCCTTTGTATGAACTCTAAGATGGAGCTTCAGATATGCAGCTCTCAAAAATGTTTTACCGCATTGATCACATTTGTGTGTTTTCTCCCCAGTGTGGATCAACATGTGTTTTTTAAGGTTTGATAAGTGTTTGATACTCTTCCCACACTGAGTACATGTGTGCAGTTTCTCTCCAGTGTGAACAATCATGTGTTGAGAAAGGGAAGATGATTGTCTAAAACTCTTCCCACACTGAGTACATGTGTACGCTTTCTCTCCAGTGTGAATAGTCATGTGTTGAGTAAGGGATGATGATACTCTAAAACTCTTCCCACACTGAGCACATGTGTACGGTTTCTCTCCAGTGTGAATCCTCTCATGTATTTTCAGATATCCTGATTCACTGAATCTCTTGTCGCAGTGTAAACACTTGTAAGGTTTCTCTCCAGTGTGAATCATCTGGTGCCTTTTCAAATGATGAGCACTAATAAAAGTCTTCTCACACTCAAAGCACATATACTCTTTCACACCAGTGTGAATCTTCTGATGTTTTATTAAATTTGACCGTGCTGAAAAACTCTTTCCACACACAGAACAGGAATAAGGCTTCTCCTTAGTATGAACTATAAGATGAGTCTTCAGATTTGAAGCGCTCAAGAATGTTTTACCGCATTGATCACATTTGTGTGTTTTCTCTCCACTGTGGATCAACATGTGTTCATTAAGGTGTGATGATTGTCCAAAACTTTTCCCACACTGAGTACATGTGTACGGTTTCTCTCCAGTGTGAATAATCATGTGTTGATTAAGGGATAACGATTGTCCGAAACCCTTCCCACACTGAGTACATGTGTACGGTTTCTCTTCAGTGTGAATAGTCTCATGTCTTTTCAGAATTGATAACTGTCTGAATCTCTTGTCGCAGTGTGAACACTTGTAAGGTTTCTCTCCGGTGTGAATCCTCTCATGTATTTTCAGGACTGATAAATGACTGAATCTCTTGTCGCAGTGTGAACACTTGTAAGGTTTCTCTCCGGTGTGAATCCTCTCATGTTTTTTCAGAGTTGATAACTGACTGAATCTCTTGTCGCAGTGTGAACACTTGTACGGTTTCTCTCCAGTGTGAATCCTCTCATGTGTTTTCAGATATTCTTTAAAACAGAATTTTTTGTCGCAGTGTGAACACTTGAAAGGTTTCTCTCCAGTGTGAATCCTCTCATGTCTTTTCAGAGTTCCAAACTCACTGAATCTCTTGTCGCAGTGTGAACACTTGAAGGGTTTCTCTCCAGTGTGAATCATCTGGTGCCTTTTCAAATGTTCAGATCTAATAAAAGTCTTCTTACACTCAAAGCACATATACTCTTTCACACCAGTGTGAATCTTCTGATGTCCTCTTAAACATGGCAGTGTTGAAAAACTCTTTCCACACACAGAACAGGAATAAGGCTTCTCCTTCGTATGAACTCCAAGATGAGCCTTCAGATTTGAAGCGCTCAAGAATGTTTTACCGCATTGATCACATTTGTGTGATCTCTCTCCAGTGTGGATCAACTTGTGATTTTTAAGGTGTGATGATTTTTTGAAACTCTTCCCACACTGAGTACATGTGTACGGTCTCTCTCCAGTGTGAATAGTCATGTGTAGAGTAAGGGAAGATGATTGTCTAAAACTCTTCCCACACTGAGTACATGTGTACGGTCTCTCTCCAGTGTGAATAGTCATGTGTAGAGTAAGGGAAGATGATTGTCTAAAACTCTTCCCACACTGAGTACATGTGTATGGTTTCTCTCCAGTGTGGATCCTCATGTGAATTTTAAGAGAACTTTTACACCCCAAACTCTTTCCACACTGACTGCAGGTGAAACAATTCTTGTCTTTTCTTTTAATTAAAAAAGTACCTTCGGTCAGTAAATGGGGCATTTTGTCAGCGTTTACAGGTTTGTCATCCTCACTCTTACCGTCTTCAATAAATTCTGAAATGAAAGTTAAAAAAAAATCGTAGTAAGTCATGACAAATCTGAGCAAATTGTGAAGTGAAAATACAGTGGAGGCATTGGCTACATATGATGCATTTTTTTTTTTTTTATAAATCTCTCTTTCAAAATCAGTATCAAGTTTTAATGTATTAGGATCAGGGCTGTGTTTCCCCATGACATCTCTTAATATGCAATGGACTCGATTTTATCTTCAATTCTCTAAGAGCCAGCCCAAGACATAAGCAATCCAAGCAACTGTTCATTTCCACCTAGGGATACTCATCCTCAGGCCTCTAGAGATTGTGACCAGTGAAGAGATGATGGCAACCATAGAGGACTACTAGAAGTTTCCTGATTCCTGGACCAGGCCGTATCCTGAGCAGATGCTCAACCTCCAGGGTCTAGACTACAGCTCTGCATGAGTTTGGCCTGAAGAGAGATGGTCATGTCCAACTGAGCCTGGTTTCTTACAAGTTTCTTTTTCCTTGACTGTCAAGAAGAGCATCTCTGCATACTAGGGCTGTGCAATTATTCGAAAACCTGATTTCGATTTCGGCTTCAAACGATTATGAAAAAGCATTAATCGAGATAAACGATTATTGCATCATATACTGCCCTCTTTCCAGCTGTACACATTTGTTGCTCTTAAAAGCGCGAAAGACCGCGTGTTTATGTGCCGCACACACAGCCAGAAGCATGCGGCCGGTCAGCATTCTGTCTCATTCGCACACTGAGACAAGCAGAGGAGCGCAGACATCTAAAGTCATCTTAACGGGAGCGCTTTAATGGTCAAATAGGTGTCCAAACATGGTGTTTAGTGATTATTTATATTAACCCTCATATGTGCAATAAACAAACGAGTTGAGGATCAAAAGCCATGTGAAAGAGAAACCATTAAAGAGACAGTGCACTATTCCTGCTGCCGCCTGTTTTTATCATTAATCAAACAAAACGAGAAAATCCCTCACTGCTCTTGACTGAAGGATTTTTGTAGTGTTTTTCTTACAATGAAGATGCTTAAAGCACAGGCTGTTTCATAATTTTATTCTATTGTATTTATTTCTCTTTCATTTGCAGGGTGGAAAGTAACTGTATATATGCAGTTGAAGTCAGAATTATTAGCCCTACTGAATATTAGCAACCCTTTTCCTCCTCAATTTCTGTTTAATGGAAAGAAGTTATTTTATTTTACTTATTTCTGAACATAATAGTTTTGATATCTCATTTCTAATTACAGATTTCTTTTATCTTTGTTATGATGACAGCACATAATATTTTTCTAGATATTTTTTCAAAATACAAGCATTCAGATTAAAGTGCAATTCAAAGGCTTAATTAGAGTAATTAGGCAAGTCATTGTATAACAGTAGTTTCTTCTGAAGACAATCAAAAAATATATTGCTTAAGGGGGCTAATAATATTGACCTTAAAATAGGTTTCAAAATAATTAAACCTGCTTTTATTCTAGCTGAAATAAAACAAATAAGCCGGAAATACTGTTAAAATTCCCTGCTCTGTTAAACATAATTTGGGAAATATTTATTTAAAAAAGAAAATTCTCAGGAGCGCTAATAATTTTGACTTCAACTGATAATCGTTTTAAATAATCGTGATTACAATTAGGACCACAATTAGGATGATTATGATTTTTCCCAAAATTGAGCAGCCCCACTGCATACACATCCAACCTTGACGTGAATGGGCTATAGCAGAAGACCACCCCGGGTGCCACTCCTGTCAGTAAGAACAGGAAACTGAGGCTACAATTCACTTAGGCTCACCAAAACTGGACAACAGAAGATTGTAAAAACGTTGCCTGGTCTGACAAGTCTTGATTTCTGCTATGACATTCAGAGGGTCAGAATTTGGCATCAACAACATGAAAGAATGGATCCATTTTAAAGCTGTTATAAAATTAAAAAAAAAAACCTCTACGTGTACATTAAGCTCAGCTTTAGCATTCCCTCTGAGTTTGCATGTGTGATGAGATGCATAGAACCTAAGACGCAGAATGAAACACAGCTGCTCATATATAGAAGACACTTAGAGAGAGAAGAGTTTACAGGAGCTGATCCCTCACGCAGAATATCCCAGGAGGAACCCAAAGCAAGGCAGCTTTCTGTCCCCATTCCAGCAAGTGTGCTTCTTGCCAGCAGTGTTTATGTGTGTGTTCATGTGTGTATGTTCTCCATTTGCACGTTTCCCTGGCTTCCTGCACCTCAGTCAGCAGCTGGAAGTTGAGTGTAGTTGGACAATTGTTAGATTTTGCCTTGTATGACTCATCTTCTGGTGGCTACTTTACGGTGGCCAGGAAGTGCAAAACAACATTACAAAGTTTGAAACACTTTTACAAAGCTCGAGACAAATTTACATTTTGAAAAACATTTTCACTTATCATCAGACACAATTACATAGGAAAAAACTATTTTACCAAGGACAAAACAAATTTACATTTTAGTAAACAAATTAACAAGACGCAAAACACTTTTACAAGTCCCGAAACAAATTTACAATTAGATTCCTTACGGAAAGGGAATGTACCACACACCAGAAGTGACGTAGAATGTACCACACACCGGTAGTGACCTGGAATGTAACACACACACTGGAAAATATCAATAATATCTAGATTGTGTGTGACTTTGTAAACAGGTTTCCACAAGTCTACAACTATAAAAATCATTGTTTGACCAACTGCGATAAAACATGTAAGAGCTATTCTGAGAAAATATCAGTGTGAGAGTGCATAGAAACATGTAAATGCAAGTACATGGAAACAATTAAAGCACAGCATATGTTGACTGATAAAAATACCAAAACCGATCTCAACCCATACACAGGAGTAGCTCAGTTGGATAAGTCGGTTGATACTTGTGCAGAACCTTTTGACTTGGGTTTAAATCCCGTTAATGACGTCAAATATAATTATTTCTTTACATTAATTTTGGTTCATACTGTTCTGCCACACAAATATTAAATCAAAAATGTTTACACTGACACAAAGGAATAATCTTTATTTGGTATGGGCATGTTTTGTTGCTGTGAAAAAGTGATGAATCTGCCAATCTGCAAACGTGAATTGTTTACATCTGAAAAGGGCCTTAGGGCCTACTCACACTATGCCATCCGTACCGTGCCCAGGCCCGTTTTCCGGATCGTTTGAGAAGTGTGAGTGCGCTGAATCGGGCTCGAGCACGGTTCACTTGGCCGGCCCTGGCCCGGTTGGAAATGGTGTGCCTGAGCGCGGATCACTTGGGCTTTGGCGCGGTACGCTTGTGTATGAGTGCAAAACTCGCCAAAGCCCGAAACTGAAAGCAAGACGTGAATTTTAAGGGGTTGTTTCATATGGATTTATTAATCATTCTTACTGTTCAGTGATCGCAAACTGCCGTCGCTTATTAAAGACGCAAACCCCTCACTGCACGTCAGCTGCGCGGCTTCAGCAGACCTCCTCATTCCTGCAGCACGAGAGCTTTATGATGAGCGCCAAAAGTGGCGGATCTGTCCGGTGAAATATCTGACTGCGTGTCACCGCATCCCTAAGGACTGTTTGGCGAAATATTTGACTGCATGTCAATGCATATCAAACGACTGAAAGGATATAACTAGAGAAATCTCCACTGTGCTACTGGGTGAGAGCGTATGGCAAGCCGTTTTAGCATTTAAACCTTGTTCTCACAATCCATAAATATATTTAGAGATATCTCTAATTATATTTTGACTAGTCATAATTATAATTCGACTAGTCAGATTGGAGATATCTGCAAATATATTATGACTGACTAGTCATATTCCTCCATTGACTTCCATTGAAAAATATTTGCAGATATCTCTAAATGAGTTTTGACTTGTCAAAAATCCAATTCAAGATATCTACAACTGTAATTACTAAATTAATTAGATATATCTTCAAATATATTTGTAAATATCTCTAAATATGACGAATTAAAGACATCTCCAAATGTATTATGACTAGTAAAAACTCAGAGATATCTCTAATTACAATTGTGACTAATCAAAACTCATTTAGAGATATCTGCAAATATTTTTCAATGGAAGTCAATGGAGGAATATGACAAGTCATGATATAATTGCAGATATCTCCAATCTGATTTCGTACTAGTACAATTGTAATTGCAGATATCTCTAATTGTCATTCTGTGTAGTGGAATTATAATTATGACTAGTCAAAATATTATTAGAGATATCTCTAAATATATTTATGGAGTCAGAACAAAGATTTAAATGCTAAAAAGGCTTGCCATAGAGAGCGCTTCTCACTGAACAGAGCAGCAGCGATGACATAAGCGTGCCGAGGCCCGATATGGTGTGAGCGCGGGCTGTCGGGGGAGACGGAAGGGGGGACAAGCGTGCTTTGGCTCGGTTCGAGGCAACTGTACCTAGTGTGAGTACGGCCTCAGTTAACACAGACACCAGTTAAACCGTAACACCGGCTTCATCCAATTTACTGTTAAGAGTCCTCAAGCAGAGGTTTACACCAAGTAGATTTGACATCATGTCTATGATTACAGCATACGAACGGGTCTCGTAAAAATATTGAACAAATTGATGCGGCATGTCTGGTGTTTCCGTCTGGTCCGCGTCCTTTATAAACTCTAAACACCGACCACACGCAAAGCAAAACCGTGTTAAGCTGCTCATGTGTTTGCCACAAAACGGGCAAAACAACCCTCGACCGCTGTCCATGTTCGGTCACCATAAACTTTGTTTATGCCATGTATTCCACATCGCGAATTTACCGCGCTCACCAGCAACAACAACTTTCCCCCGCGTCACTACCGGTGTGTGGTACATTCTATGACTTCCGGGATGTGGTACATTCCTATTCCTTAAGGAATCTGTAATTGTAAATTTGTTTCGGGACATGTAAAAGTGTTTTGCGTCTTGTTAATTTGTTTACTAAAATGTAAATTTGTTTTGTCCTTGGTAAAATAGTTTTTCCTATGTAATTGTGTCTGATGATAAGTAAAAATGTTTTTCAAAATGTACATTCGTCTCGAGCCTTGTAAAAGTGTTTCAAACTTTGTATTGTTGTTTTGCACTTCCCGGCCACCGTACTACTTCCAGGAGCAGAAGCATAAATCAAGGTTTTAGAAAATGCAGCAAAGGATTTCAGACTTAAGATTTCAGAATTGTTTTTAATAAAATATCAAATAAATTTAAATTAAATCAGATCATATATAGTTTGGTCTTATTATATTAAATGTTTAATAATCCTTTTTAAACATAAAATAGACAACTGTGTGCCAGTTTCTGCATTTATTTCTCAGTTTGTCCCTTAAGTTTGTTAGTTTTTTTCCCCTTTCACACACGATAAAGCAAATGAGCTGTTTAAAGCTGCTCAGCATTATTTTATCTTCATCTTTATTATTGAAAAGTCAAGATTGAACACCAACCTGTTTCTTTTTCAGTCTCTTTATCTTCAGTTGTGCAGGGTTTTGGATCACTCATGTTCTCAACGTCCTTCATCTTTGCAGATTTCACGCCTACCTGATGGTCTGCTGCTCGTCTTGTAGACTGATGGGAATATTGCAGTGTTTATAGCAGGACTGATGGGGAGGAGCTTCACAGAAAGGGGAGGAGCTTCACTACATTGGAGGAGCAGATCTGCAAATATTAAAAATACTTCAGTTTATGTTTCTTCATCTAATTAACACCTTCTACATTTGCTTATATCGATGTCTCAATTTAAATTGACTGAAGTGCTTTATACTGTTATACTATCAGAAATTATATCTGTTCTTATTGCTAACAATGAGAAGTTAAATATACCAACAGTGTTTCCTCTAGGATTTTTTCCAGCTGTGGCGGCAGGCCTTTTTAACACAGATCTACCAACAACCTGTGGCGTTATTTCAATGACAAATGTCGTAAGCGCAGAATTATGAGTCGAGATCGCATTTATGTAATAGCCTACGAGCATGCAAATAAATCTCTTTGCTTGCGCGACGATTTCTTCTGCTCGTGCATAAAACTTCTTGCACGCCCTCGAGCGCAGATCTTTCGCTCTCAAATAAACGCTGCTGAAGTGCGATTTAGTGCGTTTATGTAACAAGTATGTCTCCAACATTTATGTGATTTGCTAGGAATACTTACGAATGTCTCTAATAGACCTACAGAGCGACATTAATGCGTCCTGAAGTAAAGTAAAACAGTTATACATCGTGTTTGCTGACTTCAAGCATCATGCACCTGTCAGTCAGTCAGCCAGCACATAACCTTAAAGGGTCAAACAACAGCCCTACTACGATTACAGAAAAGTTTGCTCTGTTATAATTCACTTCCCTTTTAATACGTTTTGGTGCGATTATCATCATTTTTATTATCGCTATTAAATAAAAATTAAAAAAACACAACAATGTTTTGAATGAGAAGTTATAATGTAGCCGTGGCAGGATCAATTTTGGCGTGGCACCCCGCCATGGAAGAATGAATATATCGGAAACCATGTACCAAATATTAATATGGGCGGAGGGCAAGAGAATAAACAAACAAGTGTGCAAATTTGCTCTAAACTAACAACCGATCAACTGCGTTTAAATTGTTTATTGTGTTTTAGAAGAAACATGGTTCATCAAAGAATAATAACATGAATGCTGTTATGATAGTCATCTTGTGAAAGTTACAAACATGGGGAAAGACACATCTACAGGTAATACATATTACAATATTGTCGTAAAAACATGTTTGCTTTTATAGCACTGTCTCACTTATGTAAACTCCTGGTTAAGTTTTAATCACAGATGCCACAGTTACATTCAAAGCCGTGATTTTCTAAAGTACAGTTATGATTTTTGTCATACTTATGCAGCCTTAGTCTGAAACCTGTTGCAGGTTGTCCAGTAGGAGACTTGATCTTGGGGCTTATCGATAAAATCGGTATCGTTATTTATTGGCCGAACACCATTGTCAATATCGATAAAAAATAATTAGTATGAAGTTTAAGTTTCAGTATGAATCGCTATAGTTTTATCAAAATGTGTCTGCTGAGCGCACGCCTTGGAAGCAATGCCGATAAGCTTAGAGTGTAAGTTTGTAATTTCTAATGGAGGCACGCGACTTGCATGACACTCATATGAGAGCGACGCGGACATGCTGTCTAAGCGGCGCGCATATGAATCACGCTGTTTCCCAAACTGATTCCTACTTGGGATTTGAAGGGGAGCCAAAGTCTGGGTTTTAGGTGCGTGTTTAAACAGACATATACACATAATTAATACAATTAATATCTAAATATGTTGATCTTGGTGAGTTTATTTATTTTTTTTCAAACACAAGTAATTTCATACTAAATGAGCATAAACAGTTAGGAGAGCAATCGAATGCTTTCATTTCATTTCATTTCATTAATGCGATTTGATTCTATTTCATTATAATAGCTATTAATTTTAAAAAGCTGAACTGTTTGCTAATTTATTTGCTGATGATGTATACTATTTATTTTTTCTTTTGTATATATTAGTAATAATAATAATAATAATAATAAATAATAAAACATATTTTGACCATTTAACTGTTTATTTACAGTGAAACAGCTCCAAATGAGCATATATAGTAATTTGTTTTAGTTTTTTTTAAAGGGGGTCGGGGGAATCCCTTATTATAGTGGGCATATCCCTTATTTACACATACCAATGTTGCCAGGTATGTTCAGGAGGCGTGCCTCTGGATGACAGGGGAAGGACTGTGTTTCAAAGATAATACTATGCTAACCGGTTAGCATTTTGGCACATTACCTACTGCACCTTTAAAATCACATGCTCAAAAATGAAAGTTGAAGGCAGCAATTACATTTCTTAGCCAAAAGGTGGCGACAACCAGCCATCAAAAACATGCCACTAAATTTTTCTTTCAAAATGATCCATCTTGCAATGAAACATTAAGTTTTAATAGTGAATGACCCAATCATTTATGAAAAATCACTCTAAAAATAACTATAAATTGTACAAATGATAATGCTAGATATTTACATTCAGCTTTATCAGAAACAAGTAACTGATTTTTTTCACACCGCTGAATATTTTATTATTTATTTTTATTCAGCTGATTAGTTCTTCATTTTATTTTATGAAACTAAAAGTTTCTTGCAGGACTGTTTTTGTAATAAAAGGGAAAGCAAATGACAAAATGTCAATTTGACATTTGATTAGAGACTAAAAAAACCATAATGTCATTCGAACCATGAGATTTGAGATCCATTACACCACTACTTTTCAATAAACGCGAACTGTCAGTTTATTAAAAATGCAAATCCCTTGCTGCACAACAGCCACACCTTCAGCAAACCTCCGAATACCTGCAGCACAAAGAATTTTATGATAATTTATGAGCGTCAAAGGTGGTGGATCTGTTTAGCAAAATATTTGACTAAGTCACTGCATCACAAATGACTGAAAAAAAGTATATAAAACGATATAACTAAAACAATCTCCAATGTACTGAGTGAGAGTGTCTGGTTTCACTCCACGCAGTGTATTGTTACTTCCGCCTACACAGAACTCCCCATAGAGAACTCACAGTCAGCTGTATATTTACTACAGATATGGTTAGATGATGACTACGGATGTTTTCTGTTGTCTGTATTTAAGGTGAGACATCTGACATCTAAAAACAAAAATTACAGATCAGCCAGATTTCCGCTTGAACCAAGAAAATGAGACTTAAACGGAGTATATTGCTTTGTGTTGCTGTCTTTAGATGAAATTGGTATGTACTAATCAGCATTTGTCAAATATAGATTTCAGATGTTTACATTGGTGTTGAACTTTTTTTTTTTATGTCAAATGAATGTTTTTTTGTGTGTGTCCCGAAGAATAAGAAATAAATAGTGAGTGTTTTACTGTGGTTGTTTCCAAGGGACAGCTGATTCACAAAGCATTCATACTATTCACATTCTACAGCTCAGTTCTCTGAAATTTTTCTCTATAAAAAGGCGTTTCATTCATGAACAATAAAACATTTATATCTATATAATAACGCTGTATGTGACACTTACTAATCAAACACAATCCTTATAAAATGTACAGTTGCAAAATAACACCAAGAAGTCGGCATTTGAATTTAGTATTATTAGATTAGGAAATTATTTGTAACATTATTCATTTGATTGATTTATTTATTTTTGAACAAAAACATCCTACATAAAATATCATTAACAAAAAAAAATACATTTAAACATGGTCGAAAATGGAGCAGGAAGAAGCCTAAGCTTATTATTCTCCCACCTCACCCATCATTCGTCTATTACTTACACTTATTTATTCTTTTACTTATCTCTTCTTTTTACATGAAACATATTTTATCCTTTTGGCATCTTTGACAAATAATATGTTTGATTCTATTTGTACCTTTTCATTTTGTAACAGACCCAAAGAAGAAAAAAATAAAACAAAATACATACTGCAAATAGAAAAAGGAAAAAACAACAACAACATAGTACTGCAGTGCAAATCGCCATTAATTAAATTGTCATCATACCTTTCTCTTTTTATCCTTTTTTAATCACCATCATCATTGTATTCCTTTATTAATATATATATATATAAATATATATATATATATATATATATATATATATATATATATATATATATATATATATATATATATATATATATATATATCGTCACCTTAGAATTATAAGGTTCTATCTGACATTTTTGTCAAAATTGAGTTGTTCACATATTCTTTTTAAATGGCAACTTATTTACATTATGGGATGTGTTTTTATACGTTGTTTACATTTTAAGGCTTTTTATTTAAGAAACAAAAAAGGTGTATCTACAAAGTTGAACTCTAGCTTGGCTCTATAAGGTTCAATCTGTGAGCCAATCAGCATTTTTAATGCATGCATGAGGACCAATCAGGATCCGCTTTCTTTGTCATTTCGCCGGACTGCTTCATTGACAGCAGGAAACACCAGAAAGACAAAAATCACACAAAATCAGAGTCGACTAAATAATGCCGCACCACACAAAATTGAAATGTGTGTAAATGTAATGATTTAGAAGCATTTCTTGACACTGAGATTCATTCATTCATTTTCTTTTCGAATTAGTCCCTTTATTAATCTTGGGTCGCCACAGCTGAATGAACTGCCAACTTATTCAGTATATGTTTTACACAGCGAATGCCCTTCCAGCTGCAACCCAACACTGGGAAACACCTATACACACTCAATCACACACATACACTATGGCCAATTTTAGCTTATCCAATTCACCTGTACCGCATGTCTCTGGACTTGTGGGGGAAACCAGAGCACCCAGAGGAAACCCACGCAAACACGGGGAGAACATGCAAACTCCACACAAAAATGCCAACAGACCCAGCCAAGGCTCGAACCAGCAACCTTCTTGATGTGAGGCAATCATGCTACCCACTGTGCCAACGTGTCGCAAACATTGAGATGAAATGCTCAATTTTATATTGTTGAAAAAGAAATGAATATTTAAAAATTTGTATATTAAAGTGAAATATTTTTATTTGTGTATATATAGTCAATGAACACTTTTCAGTGTTTATTGAACTAATTTGCTCATAGTCTGTTTCTTTTAAAGTCTATAAGTTTAATATTAAGCCTTGAAGGACAAATACTTAATTTATTT